AATGCCAAAGAGCTCAATTTTGGTCTATCTGACCACAGCACCTTCTCCCAGTCACTCTCTGAATCATTCAGGTGTTCATTGGCAAACCACAGACGGGCCTGCACATGTGCCTTCTTGAGCAGGGGGACCTTGCGAGCACTGCAGGGTTTTAATCCATTGCGGTATAATGTGTTTCCAATGGTTTTCTTGGTGACTGTGGTCCCAGCTGCTTTGAGGTCATTACCTAACTCCTCCCATGTAGTTCTAGGATTATTTCTCACCTTCCTCAGAATCATTGACACCCCACGAGATGAGATCATGTGTGGAGCCCCACACCGAGGTCGATTGATGGTCAATCTGTGCTCCTTCCATTTTCGAACAATTGCACCAACAGTTGTCACCTTCTCTCCCAGCTTCTTGCTTATGGTTTTGTAGCCCATTCCAGCCTTGTGCAGGTCTACAATTTTGTCTCTGACATCCTTGGACAGCTCTTTGGTCTTTCCCACGTTGGAGAGTTTGGAGTCTGCTTGATTGATTGATTCTGTGGACAGGAGTCTTTTATACAGGTGACTAGTTCAGACAGGTGTCTTTAATGAGAGTGACTAATTGAGTAGGAGTGTCTAACCACTCTGTGGGAACCAGAACTCTTTGTGGTTGGTAGGGGATCAAATACTTATTTCACTCAATGAAATGCAAATCAATTGATATATTTTATATCATGTAATTTTCTGAAATTTCTTTTTGATATTTTATCTCTCACTGTGAAAATAAACCTACCAAAACAAATATAGACTGTTAGTTTGTCTGTCAGTGGGCAAAATTACAAATTCAGTGGGGGATCAAATAATTATTTCCTCCACTGTATTTGGTTTGAGCAGGCAAAGTGTGTAACGGGAATCAGGAAAGCAGAGGTGACTTTAAGTTAAAGTTAGAGAAAGACAGTCTTCAGTAAAATATGTACTTTACACTGTCTGCAGCAGTGGCGATTGCTCTAAGACTGCAAGGAAAGCTCAGCTTCCCTTAAAATGTCACCCCCCCAAAAAAAGAAAAAGTGGTGAAATACGTACTGCTGTGTGTACATTTCATTAACTAAATACGCGCTAGAAAGCCTTCATCTTTTGTTCAGAATCAGCTGATTCTGCACAACTTCGTTCTCATTCATCCTCGCAGCGCCTCAGCACTTTAAACAGCCGGACGCTTGGCTTCTCCTGACTTCAATGTGGAAGCTCAAAGTGGGTTGTTCCAGCAGCAAAACTAGACGCTCATTGGATAAATGCTGGGCTTTGTCCTGCCCATCGGACACTCAGCTTCTCTGGAGCTCTATGGCGAGAGGGCGGTCCCGACTTTCTCCCGGACTCCGAGCTTCTGCATCCATGATTGGATGAGCTGTCTGAGGCGAAATCCTTTTTTGATTGACAGCTAAACAAGCGAATCAGCGATCTTGAAGAATAAAATATCTACCAGAGCATTTTCCAAGTTATTCATTCTGTTGTTCTTAATTGCTCCAGAGACTTTAGCGATCCTCAGCGACTTTTGTTTTTAAACCAACCAACCACAACCAACTGGACGGAAAAGGCCAAAGAAGATCAGTGTTGAGGTGGCAGCAGATCATCTGGTGGTATTTCAGAAGGTTTGTTAAAATAATGTTTTTCAACATTTTGCATTTTTTTCTAAATAAGTACTTATATGGAGATGTTTCTCATTGTGTTTTAATAATAATAATAATACATTTTATTTGGAGTGCCTTTCATGTCACTCACGGACACTTTACAGAACATATAAAACAATGAAAACAAAACACTATTAACAATTAAAATCATCAATCATCAAAACAGTTAAAATCAACAAAGCAGCATAAACAACAGCAAAGGGATAAATAAAAAAATAAATAATACCAATTAAAATTAAATTAAAAGAGTGAGTTAGGGGTGGTGGGATGGATAGGCCAGTTTAAACAGGTGTGTCTTGAGTTTGGATTTGAAGAGGGGGAGGGAGTCTATATTGCGGATGTGTGATGGTAAAGAGTTCCAGAGTCGGGGTGCTGAGGTGAACAGGGGGCACAGTGAGGTGGAGAGAGGAAGAGGATTGGAGGCGGCGTGATGGAGTGGCGATGTGGAGGAGGTCAGACAGGTAAGGAGGGGTGAGGTCGTGGATGGCTTTAAAGGTATACAGGAGGATTTTTATGTGGCGGAGATGGAAGTAGGCAGTCTGAGTGGTAAGGCTGATGTGGGATTTGAAGGAAAGAGTACTGTCAAGGACAACACCCAGACTCTTGACCTGAGGGGAGGGGGAAACTGAGGAACTGTCGATGGGAAGGGAGAGACTGTCAACTTTGGATAGGGTGAATTTGGAACCTACTAGAAGAATTTCTGTTTTCTAACTGTTTAGTTGGAGAAAGTTGGCGGTGAACCAGGATTTAATTTCAGATAGGCAGGTGATGAGGGAGGTAGGTGGGAGGGTGGAGTTTGGTGAGCTGGAGAGGCAGAGCTGAGTTTCATCCGCGTAGCAGTAATATTGAATGTTGAATTTACGGAAGATGGAACCAAGGGGGAGGAGGTAGGTGATAAATAGCAGGGGCCCCAGGACAGAGCCCTGGGGCACACCTGAACTGACTGGGGAGGGGTCGGACTTGATTTGAGCTGGATGAACTTTGTGCGGTCTGAGAGGTAAGAGTGTGTTCCAGTAACAGTTCCAGTAACGGGAACAGTTCCAGTGGTGAGTGAGGAGTAAATGATGGCAGATATGGGAGGAAGCACAGACGGGAGGCATGATTTGATCAGTGTGGTGGGAAGGGGATCCAGCTGACAGGTTGAGGGTTTGGATTTCCGGATGAGATCATAGATTTCAAAGTCGACGGGTAGAAGAAAGTACTGACGGTGTGGCAGGGGAGTTGGTGGGGTCGGAGGGGGTCCAGGGGGGAGAAAGCCTGAGTGCAGTTGTTGGTGGATGTTGGAGATTTTGTCATTAAAAAACTGCATTAGGGTGTTGCAGGTGTCGGTTGAATACAGGTGGGGGGGGGGGGGAGTCCGGTGGCTGGAGAGACTTGTTGAGGAGAGTGAATAGTGATCAGGGGCCTCATGTATCAACACTGGCGGCGCCAGAAAACCTTGCGTTCACCAAGATTGGCGCACACGTCCAGATTTATCATCGCGACACGCGACATGTCGGTTCCAGCGCAAATCCACGCAAAGTGGGGAGGTGGTGTAGAAGTTGGCGTTGAGCCGATACTTGCGTTGACGGCACTTTGGCAACACTGTGTGGCGGTGTTTGGTGACTCACTATGTGACAAGCGTGCACCACATCCCCGTGGCCGAGCAGCACGTCGCCCCACATGACGAACCAGCAGCAGACGGAGGGATGCGAGCTGATCCCTGCCGGGCCGCCGTCCTCGCGCGGGAGAATCTCATCACCACAGTGTGAATGGGTAAGAAGTGAATACACAGTTAAATGAGCTAAATTAATTTATTTTCGCCACCAGACGCTCAAGGACATTTACGAGCCAGTCCAGCCGCTCGTTGATCCCCACGATCCCCCTGATGATTTCTTTGTGCGATTGCAGGACTGCCTCCGTGAGGACCCTTCCACTGTGTCCGGGTGGTCCAGCGGAAGCACCGCAGCTGGTTGATTTCTGTGACACAATAAAAATATTGGTTCATTTCAATTCCTGCTTCTGTGTATCTGTTGCGTTTACATCTCTCTCCACGGTATCATAGGTAATGTAATCCAGTATTTAGAGGTCAGTTATGCACATTACAGTTGTTTATTGCATAAAAAGTTATCAAAAAATGAAGTTAAGGGCGAAGTATAAATCACGTCTAAAAATAGACTGAATCCCGACGTTGAAATGAAGTATAAACTTAGACTAGATGTCTTTTGCTCAGTGGGATGGCAAAGCATGTGGACATTTGTGTGACACGCCACTTACCCTATAATAATAATCGCCACCACCCGCTGCTCAAACGGCGTGAGGGTCTCCTCCCCCGGAACCCCACCTGTCTGACCGGTATATTGTTGATGTTAGAGCGCAGAGTGTCAATGTTTATGTTCTTAAGATTGCGGAATGAAATGAGGCGTGGTGAGTTAATTCTAGAGAGGCAGAGAGGAATACTGAAGCAGATGAGGAGGTGGTCACTTACATGGAGATCATCGGCTGTGCAGTTGGATGAGATGAGGCCAGAGCAGCAGAGTAGTTCCAGAGTGTGTCCTTTAGTGTGTGTCGGGAAGTTGATGAATTAATGGAGTCCAAAACTGTCCAGGAACGATGAGAAGTCTCTGGTGAGGGGCATGTTGGTGTTGACAATGTGGATATTGAAGTCCCCCAGTATTATTGTGTTTGGTGAGAGTGTGCATAGATGGGTGAGTAGAACAGAGAAGTCATTTAAGAAGTCGGTGTGGGGCTTGGGGGGCGGTAGATGGTGGCGATGATGGTGGGAGTGGGTCCAGGGAGTGTAAGTGCCAGAAGTTCGAGTGAGGAGAAGAGAGGCAGGGACAGCGGTAGAACCTTCCACTTCTTGTAGTGGCTGCCGTGGCTGCGGGGGTGGGAGAGGTAGGTGAAGTCGTTGAGTGATGAGAAGTCATTGATGCAGAGGAAGTCCAGCTTGAGGTCAGTGAGGAGATCGTGGATGATGTGTCCCTTGTTGGTGAGTGAGCGGATGTTGAGAAGTCCGAAGCTGACAGAGGTATTGTCATGTTTGGTGAAGATGGGAGCCAGCATGGATGGGCTTGCTAAAACAGATTGATTGACAGACCGGGTGGTGTTTCTATCAGAGTGGTGTCTGTTGGTGATATGGACAGGAATAGGGAAGAGTTGGATGCTACTGTGATTATTTGGGAGTGGGGAAAAGATGACGGGAAGACCTGTGGCAGAGAGAGTCGGTGACAGAATTTACCAGCAGGGGGAGCTCTGGGGAGGACCTGTGAACAGTGGGTGCACCACAGAGGGAGTGGAGGTTGTGTGTGTGGGGGGGTAGTAAATAGTCAGTCACATGGTGAACAGTGTACAGTGTGCTGCAGGTTAGCCACTAGTATGCACCTGCGGTGTTCGGGTGGATACCATCCAGTTTAAAAAGGGACGAACGGTTCCAAAAAAGATTAAAATTGTCCACGAAGGCAAAGCTATGGGCTTGGCAGGCAGATTGGAGCCAGGTGTGCAAGCTGAGCACTCTGTTGAAGCGCCCGCACCCACGACCAGAAGTGGGAATGGGACCACTGATAAAAACAGACAGTTCACAGTTCTTCAGGAAGTTGGAAAGTTGGGTAAAATGGTCCTTCGTGAGCTCGGTCTGGTGGAGGGACGTGTCATTTGTACCGACATGGATTATGATTCTCTGGATGGAAGTTGGGAGAGATTTTAACAGAGTGGGGAGAAGTGTTAAAATTTCAAGGACCCTCGCACCGGGGAAACACTGCGTGACAGCGTTAAAAAAGCAGAGGTTTCTCATAATGGAGTCACCCACAATTAAAGTCGTCATCGGAGACAAGACGGGAGGTACACGGGCCAGCCGCAGTGCAGGTGTGAAGCATGGCATCGAGCGCCGCTGGAGGAACCCGGCGTGCAGATGGTCGGGCATGGGGAGCGGATTTTGCTTGGGTTCTGCTCCCAGCCTTGTTGAGGAGACATTGGGGGAGAGGGATGGATGAGCAGGCGGAGGAGAGGTGGTCGCAGCAGCCGGAGGAGAGTTGTTGGGAGTGGCGGGGTCTGGATCCGATGAGACAGTGGATTCGGGATGTGGTGTTCTGAAGATGATGGTGTCCATGAGTTTCTTGGCTTCCTGGATCTGGTAGAGGGTGGAGATCCTTCTCTCCAGCTCCTGGATCTTTTCCGCCAGACAGGCGCAGCTGGCACAGCTGGATGGAGAGGAACGTGGAGCCATGGCTGAAACAGAAAGAGCAACAGCCAGCAGGCAGCCAACGACACAAGGCAGGATCTGATAGAGGACAGTCTGGATCAGGGATTGGACACTTACATGCCAGGGCTCCATCCTGGAGCCCGCAGCAGTGAGGTAGCAGATCAGACAACACGGGAGGAGACTTGACTTACCGGCGAGGGCCCCGGAAGAGGGGCCCTCGCTGTTTATTTAATCCCAGAAACTCAAACGATATCCACCACCACGGCTCCATGTTTGTTTAAAAGTTGAAATTTGGTGGCAAAATGAAAAGACAGTGCTAGCTGCTCGTTAGCTCATGGCTAGCTGTCGGGCTGGAGCTCACATATTTTACGCTTGCCAGAGCCTGGAGGATCACCTTGCCACCATGGAAGGAAATCACCAACCGTATGTCCTGACCACGGGAAGTTCAAAAATGCAGATTTGATAATTTGCAGTGCTCAAATGATGAAATGTACTCTGTATCTCAACACCAAAATACTGAAACAGGCTTTCCAGTGTCATTTAACAGCAAAGATATGTGTGCATCAATTATTGCCAAACTTTTAGGAAGTGGTGTGCCAAATACTGTAGTTCTTTCCACCATTGAGAACTTGGAGGAATTAGTGGGAGACTTGCAGTCTAATATCCAGGAACAAGTGCCGAACTTAGTACCACCCAGCAATCCAGCCTGATCAACCATTGAAGAGATGTTCAAACATACTGACAACCCTTTCAGCCATTTGAATTCTGATAGGAGGTGGAAAAAATATTTCACAGAAAAATGGAGTATCATGCACCCAGTTGAAAAGTGTTTAGGTATAAGGTATGATACCAGAATAAATAGCAAAAGTGGAAACTATGAACAAGTTCCAGTCATTGACAAATTCATATATATTCCTTTAACAAAGATTTAACAAAGATTTTATTCAGGATTTTGCTGACTTCATGTCGGGTGTCACTCTTAATTATGACCACTTTTTAATTGTTGGCGATTTTAACATGCATGTCTGTTGTGAGACCAGGCCTCTGGTCAGAGACTTCCTCAATCTCATCGACTCTTTTAATCTCACACAGTCCGTTTCTGAGCCGACACATGACAAAGGCCATATATTGGATCTTGTATTGTCTTATGGATTAGATGTACAGATAACCGAAATCTGTCATACACCCGTGTCCGACCATCATCCTGTTTTGTTTTCCTTTGCAATACCTGTTGTCTCAACCACAAACTCCGCCCCCGTCTGCCGTGTTCGTGCTTTTCACTCTTCAACTCCCTCGCAGTTCTCCGCTGCTTTTAAAGACTCTTTCCTATATTCTCTGGATGATCCTATTGCTCCTATGTCTCTGAGGCGTGTGAAGCCACAGACTGAGCCTTGGCTGAATGAGTCCACCCGTGCGCTCAGATGCGCATGCAGGCAGGCCGAAAGAAAGTGGAAGAAGGACAGGCTACAAATTAATTGGGATCTCCTTCATGACTGTCTCCGAACCTATCAGCATGCAGTGAAAGCTGCAAAGGCTGATTATTTCTCCACACTTGTTTCTGCTAATGCTCACAAACCACAGGTTCTTTTTAATGTATTTGATGCTCTTGTCAATCCATGCGATGCTGCTTGTGTTGAGCCCTCTTCATTGCTGTGTGAGGATTTCCTGCAGTTTGATTGCTGTTCTTAGGTCCCCACTCTCTCTTTCTGCTCAGGATCCCTCAGTTCCTTCAGCAGGCTCTGCGGTCTTTCAACAGTTTGAGCCTGTTACTCTCTCCGCAATCACTGAGATAGTGGAACACTTCCGTCCTGCTAACTGCCCCTCTGACAGCATTCCATCCCGTTTGTTTAAGGAAGTTTTCACCTCAGTTCAGTCTTTTATTTTACTTCTTTTAAATCAGTGTCTCAGCTCTGGGTGTGTTCCATCTTCTTTCAAACATGCCATGGTGCAGCCCCTCCTGAAAAATAAAAATCTGGATCCCTTGATTTTATCTAATTTTAGGCCTATTTCTAAACTTCCTTTTATTTCCAAGGTTTTAGAGAAAGTCGTTTTTAACCAACTCCAAGAGTTTTTACAGAGGGCCAATGTTTCCAAATTGTTTCAGTCTGGTTTTAAGTCTCTTCACAGCACTGAAACTGCTCTTTTAAAGGTTTTTAATTATCTTTTGTTAAATCTGGACTCTGGAAACTGTGTCATTTTAATTCTCCTCGACCTAACAGCGGCATTTGATACAGTGGATCATTCAATCCTCGTATCTCGCCTGGAACAATGTGTTGGCATAAAAGGGACTGCCCTAAGCTGGTTCAAATCTTACCTCTCTGGGAGATCCTTCTCTGTTCACATGGGACAGTTTTCCTCCTCCGTTGCCCCTCTGACATGCGGTGTTCCCCAGGGGTCAGTCCTGGGCCCTTTACTGTTCTCCCTCTACATGCTACCGCTGGGGTCCATTTTTAGGAAGCACGGTATCCCCTTTCATTGTTTTGCCGATGATGTACAGGTGTATTTGCCAGTGAAGGCACCTACTAAAGACTTGCTCCAGGCTGTGTTTAACTGCATGAAAGACATTAAAACATGGATGGACCTAAACTTGTTAAAACTAAATGAAAATAAAACAGAGGTTACCCTGTTCGGCCGTCCTGACCTGGTTCAGGTCCTTGCCAGCTCCCTTGACCCATTAGCACCGTACGTAAAATCCCATGCCAGGAATCTTGGGTTTATTATTGATGGTGCCTTCAAACTGGACAAGCAGGTCAGTGCTGTGGTCAAGTCCAGCTTCTTCCAGCTAAGGCTTTTGGCAAGGATTAAACCGTATCTCAACCAGAGAGACCTGGAAACAGTTATCCATTCTTTTATTACATCTCGCTTGGATTCCCTTGCAATTCCCTTTACTTTGGAATTGACCAGTCTGAGCTCAACCACCTGCAGCTCGTGCAGAACACGGCAGCTCGCCTCCTTTCTGGTACCAAGAAGCATGAGCACATAACTCCAGTGCTCTCTTCTCTACACTGGCTTCCAGTTAGGCACAGGATCATTTTTAAGATTCTTTTATTTGTTTTTAAATCTCTGAATGGGCTGGCCCCGGAGTACCTGGCCGACCTGGTTAAGCTACACCAACCCTCCAGAGCCCTTAGGTCTGCTGACCGAGTCGTTTTAGACGTGCCTTGTTCGTTTTTAAAATCCAGAGGGAAGTGAGCGTTTGCGGTTGCAGCTCCCACTTTGAGGAATGCACTACCCCTCAGTGTGCGCACTGCAAATGGTCTCTCTACTTTTAAAACTCAACTGAAGACGCACTTGTTCACCATAGCTTTTGACGGAGTATGATACTTTTATTGGTTATATATTTGTTTTTATTTTCATTTATATGTTACATGTCTTTTGTTGCTGCTGTTTGTTGTGTATGACTGCTTTTATTGCTTCTGTTTCGTTATTGTAAAGCACTTTGGTAGGCCACTGGCTGTTTAAATGTGCTATACAAATAAAATCGACATTGACATTGACATATTCCTGTACTAAAAACACACCAGTTCATTTTCAGAAATGAAAGTATTTGTGAAATGATGGAAAAATCTAACAAATGAGATAAATATGTGGACTTCTGTGATGGAAGCTACTTTAAAAGTCATCCCTTGTTTTCCAGTGATAATCCAGTTGTAATTTGACGAATTTGAGTGTGCAAATCCACTAGGTTCAAAGAAAGATATCCATAAAGTTGGCTGCCTTTACTTCCTTCTAAGGAATCTTCCACCCAGGGTGAATTCTCCCTTAATGAACATTCATCTGGTATCACTGTTCCATGCACAAGATGCTAAGAAATATGGTATTGATGAAATACTGAAACTCTATGTGAAGGACTTGAAAGTTTTAGAAACAACTGGGGTTGCTGCTCCATTTTCTTAACTGTTTGTCTGTGGCACTCTTGCACAACTTACTGATGATAATTTGGGGATAAACAGCATTCTTGGATTTTTGGAGTCTTGTAGTGCAAATAATTTCTGTCGATTTTGCTTGACTGATAAATCAACTGCTCAGTCAGTTTTCTCAGAAGATGACCCATGCTTGACTTTGAGATCCCCAGTTCTGCATGACCAACACTTTACTGCTTTGGAGGATGATCCGACGTTAACCTCTTTATTTGGCATTAAAAGAAAAAGCATACTCAACACTTTGCAATATTTCATTATTGCCAAAAATTATGCTGTTGACATAATGCATGATATTTTGGAGGGAGTTGGTCAGTTTGAGATAAGATTACTTTTTGAATATTTGACTGAACATTTCATCTCCAAAGAAAGCCTGTTAAATAGGATCTATGCGTTCAATTATGGCTATTTGGAAAAGAAAAGCAAGCCAACCAATGTTAAGCTTGACTGTGTGGAACATGGAATAGGGTTAAATACATCACAAACTCTGTGTTTGATCACAAACATACCTCTAATATTTGGTGACCTTATACCAGAGAATGATTTGCTCTGGCATTTAATGCTTTTGTTGCTGAACATCATTAACATTGTGTTCTCATACTCCATCACTGAAGGGATGACTGTTTATCTGAAGCATCTCATTATTGAACTTTTCAAAGAACTGTACCCATCAAAGAACTTGATTCCTAAACATCATTTCATGGTCCATGATCCAAGATGCATTCAAAAATTGAAACACTCATTCATATTTGGACTATGAGATTTGACACAAAGCATAAATTCTTCAAGGACTGTGTAAAGAACTTCAAGAATTTGACTATCACTTGCAAGGAAACATCAGATTGCAGTAGCCTATCATTGGGAATGCTTGACTTTAAAAACAGTACACTCTGGTCCAGTCAAAATGTGTCTCGATGAAACACTAGAGCAGGGGCCGGCAACCCGCGGCTCTAGAGCCACATGCAGCTCTTTAGCGATCACTAGTAGCTTCTTCAAAAATGTATGACAATGGAAGGGGGGATATATTTTTTGTTTTAATATGGTTTCTGTAGGAGGACAAACATTCTTAACATTTTCCAATGCTGTAAAAAATGTGCATTATGAATATCAAATTTCAACATTTCTGTCAACTAATATTGAAGTCATAGCCTGCGACACATGATTTAGCGCGGCACCGTGCCAAGCAGGTGGCTGTTGTAAACAAACCGGCGGGTTGTCAAGGGCCATGGATCCTAAAGGGAAAAGGAGAAAGATAACTGATGATAACAGAGGATTCAAGGAAGAATGGACTGAATCATTTACTTTCATTGCCAATGCGGAAGGATTGTCTGCATGTTTGCTTTGTATTGAGAAGTTGTCTAAGAACAAAAAGTGTAATTTGGAAAGACATTTCCAGGGAAGGCATGCTAAATTTGCAGCCGACTACCCAGTTGGGAGTGAGAGAAAAAGTGCAATTGCAGTACTTCTGGAGAAATTAGAAGAGCGCAAAAGTAGATTTAAGAAGTGGATTGCATCTCCAAACTACTGCTGCTGCAAGTTTTGTTGCAACCCAAGAGATAATAAAGCGTGGAAAACCGTTCACAGATGGTGATAACATGAAGGATTCATTCATCAAAATATCAGAGCACCTATTTTCAGACTTCAAAAACAAAACCGAGATAATCCAGAAAATTAAAGACATGCCTCTCTCCGCAAAGACGGTGAAAGAAAGGGCCATTAAAATGGCAGGCGACATCACCAATCAGCAAATAAAAGACATTAATTCGGCTCCAGCGTACTCAATTGCCTGTGATGAGTCTGTGATGTAAGCGATATCGGACATACAGCACTGTTATGCAGGTATGTGAACTGTGATGGGCCGTAAGAAAAAATGATCAAATTAATACCACTGAAAGGCCAAACACGGGGGAGGACATCTGTGAGGCTGTGCTGAAGTGTTTAAATGACAAAGGAATAAACACTAACCACCTGATTTCAGTGGCTACAGATGGGGTACCCAATATGAGAGAGTCGCAAAAGGGGTTTGTGACTTTACTACAGAAAGCGCTGGAACGAAATCTGCTTGCATTTCAATGCATTTTGCATCAAGAAGCACTCTGTGCACAAACATTTCCACCGGAGTGTATTGAGGTGATGTATCTTGTCATCCAGATCGTGAACAAGTAAACCACCGTCAGTTCCGTGAATTGCTAGATGAAGTTGACAGTGAATATTCTGATCTCCTGCTACATAACAGTTCGCTGGCTGTGAGGTTTTGCGTCGCTTTGTTGCTTGTTTAGAACATGTGAAAACATTCCTGAAAAGCAAAAACCTAAACTACCCACAACTGGAAGACACAGAATAACTGGAAAAACTGCACTTTATAGTGGATATGACAGATCACCTAAACATGCTCAGTAAAAGTCTCCAGTGGCAGGGAAACACTGCACTGCAAATGCTGGAAGCTGTTTTGTCATTCGAGTGCAAACTGACTGTTTTCGCCAGAGATGTACAGCGAGGCACACTCTCTCACTTCCCCTCCCTGAGAGAGTTTAAAGACGTCAATCACGATCACACACTCAACGGAGAATATTTACAGTGTCATCGTTGATATGCAAGCTGCATTTGGGAGCAGATTTAGCGAGTTCCAAAAAGAAAAAAAATGACACTATCTTTCTCTGTTGCACCGCTGGAGATTGACCCAGCCTTGTTGAACACATTCTCAGGAGTAAATCAAGCTGACCTTGAAATGGAACTGGCCCATATAGCTGACAAAGATTTGTGGATGTCAAAATTCAAAAGTCTGACAGCCGTGCTTGAAGACTTCACTTCGTCAGAAAGCCTATGCTGCCCAAAGCCACAAATGGAGCGAAACTGAACACCTCCCAACACCTGAAAAACTTGTGTTTGATACATGGAATGCTCTTCCTGACAGTTATAGGTGCATGAAGAAATATGCATTTGGAGTATTATCCATCTTTGGATCAACATACATGTGTGAGCAGATATTCTCAAACATGAACTACATTAAGTCCAAACACTGCATCCGCCTCACAGAGGAGAATTTGCAGTCCTGTGTTAAGATTAAAGTCTTACAAGCCCAATGTTGAGAAGCTATCCGGTGATGTCCGAAAACAGAAGTCACATTAAACAGGTGAGAACACAATCCTTTCATAGGCACAAATTTAGCAACTAAGTGCCCGTTTTTTTAGTATTTGGAATGACATTTAGGGATATTATTGTGTTTTATTGCTCAGATCAGAGGATTGCTGCGCCTGTATTGTCCGTTTCTGTTGCTGAGATAAGGGGGGAAAGAGAACAGGATGCTGCTGCGTTGTACCCTTGCACTGACTTACTTGATATTTGCAGAAAACTAAAGAGATGAGGATAATACACAGAGATCAAACTTAAATTGTCTTATTTAAATTTTTGCTTTACATTTTCAAAAAGTTCGTCTGCTGTGTTGTATTTTTTAAGCAAGCTGCCTTTTAATTGCAGGCCGTTTTATTACTTGTTTGCAAGCCGCTTCATTTGTGTCTTTTGCTGCCATAAGGGGGAAAAGGATTGTTCTGCATTTTATTCATTTGCACTAACTTAGGCTACTTAACTTGGCATTTGCAGAAAACTAAGAGGATAATGCACAGAAATGCCCTGAAATCGAAATTAAACTGGCTTTTTTTTTCGTTTTATATAGCCAACTTACCTTTTCAAGAAGGCTGCCGTTTTATTTGTATAATTGCAGGCTGTGTTTTAACTGCAGGCGTTTTATAGCGCTCTGTTGCTCAGATAAGGGAAAAAAACGAGGAAGATTGTATTGTTATTGAGGTTTGAAGAGGACTGCATTGATGCCTATTATGCACATTCCATTCTGTTTTTGTTTTTTTCGAATCCTCAAAATAAAAATGACACAAAAAATGATTTCTTTACTGTATTTCTATAATTTTATTAATGCAACAAAACTTAATATATTAATATTGTAATGGAAGTTAAACTTAAAGCACCATATATCGCACAGCAGAGTAGTCACATAGTGTGTCATTCTCTCCAGGATGCGCTGCAGGGAAAATAAACATTAAATCCTGAATGCTCATTATGTATTTGTAGTCTATTTAGTCATTTTGATAGTAGGCTAATATAGCGAATATACACTTACAGCCTGTGTTGCTGTTGTGAGGCAGGTTCGTAGTGAGGACCCAGAAGCAGACACAGAGACAGAGATCAACTTAAGGTGTAGTTTTAATGTCGAACAAAAGGTTGAAAATGCAAACGAGGATGTCCGGTTGGCTGGTTGGCTGGCTGTCGTGTGGGCTGGAGACACTGCAGGAAAAAAACAGAGGAGACAGGAGTTAATGAACATGAAAATAGTCACTAGGAGCAAAGTTCTGAAGGTTATACCAACGAAGGTTTGGCCAGGAGACGCGTCTTTACCGCTAGGCAGGGTAGACAGTACTCAGGCGCTGAGACTGAGGGCTGCAGGCTTCTTAAAGTGCCTTGATTGGAGATGTGGAGCAGGTGTGTGGTCTCACTCAGCCTCAGCGCTGGGGGAGGGGAGGAAGCCCTAGAAAAGAGTAAAGGCAAACAGGGAAACAAAGGAAGTCCAGCCAAAATAAAACAAGATGAGGAGGCGTCTCACCACAGTTGCCTTCATATAAGGCTTATATAAGGCTTTTAATTTTTTGTTTAATTCTCCAGACAGATTTGGGTTTTTTTTTGTTTTTTTTTGGTCCAACCCCTGCACTAGAGTGTAAAAAAGATGTGTCCTCATTGTTAGAATAATGTGCATAAATGTATATAGAAGTTATCATTATTCCTCATATTCTTATAGTATAAACTCCTTTGACCTCTTTTTATACATCATATAAGAGTATTTTTATCATATGAGTGTTTTCTAACTTCTCTCTCCAATAGCTTAATTACACAGCACATGAATGTTTCTTAACTTCTCTGTGAACTTGTTTCTCCTATCAGCAGGTGTGTGTGACGTATCCTCCGAGGATGAATCGTGGGGAGGTTCTGGGAAGGATACACGCTTATCAGAAGGAGCTCGTTAGATGCCGCCTTGACCTTCAGCTATTCACAAATTGTTCATTATTATGTTCTATGAAATGCTTACTTTGCAGCACATTTACCCCCACCCTTTTAGAAACATTGTGTAACCAGGGACAACCCTAAATAAAAGAGACTGGGCGGAAATACCTTTCAGAGTGGTTTCGAGATGGTACCTGAAGCTATCTCGGTCCATTCTCCTCGAGTATATACCATTGTCTTTCTCTTCTTTATATGTTATCAGGTAAATGTTGCAGGTTTTAAACCTAACACTCATATCTTCACATTGATCCAAAAGCCACTGTCAAACTGACTAACTGGGTGAAGTGTGATCGAGTTGAATACTGCGTTGGCCTTTTTGTTTGCACAGGCTCTGATGAACACACACCAGTGTTCAGAAAAATAACCTCTATTATTTTGCACAATGGTGAAGTGTTTTTTGTTCTTGTTGAACATGAAACTTGTTTTCATGACCACTTTCATGCTTTCCAAGTAAGTGAAAACTTCCCAAGGACAATTCTGGTTCTTGAGAGAAGGCGATTAAAACACTTGAAGCCTTTTGATGTTCAAATGTCCTAAAGGTGTGATTCACATATTTATGTTGTGTCAGAAAGTTGTCTTATTTAAAGTGTTAAACATTTAAGCTCAGTGGGCACTCAACGGAAGGGAGTTTTTCTTTTGAGTCTGTTTTTGTGAGGTAATAACAGTTAAAAAAATTCAGCTGCTGTTGAAACTTCTGTAATTCAATTGAAGAATCAGCACACTGGTTACACTTCAAGACAGATTTCCCACAAATTATCACAATTCTGTATTTAAAGGGATATTCTGGTGTAAAATTAAGTTAGGGTCAAACACACCGTAACATCGAGTTAGGGTAAAACTCTAGAGTTTTATTTGCACTGTTACAAGAAATTGTAACAGTGCATTTTTATGAGGTGATGGCTTGTTACAGATTCATGTAGTCATGCTGAAATGTTGTTAACGGCATTCAAATGATGCGCTTGCCCGCAGCGCCCTTATATACTGGCTACCACTGATCTGTAGCAAGATGCTGCAGATGTTTTATCAGTCTGTGGTGGCAAGTGTTCTGTTCTACGCTGCAGTCTGCTGGGGAGGAAGCATCAAACACAAAGATGAGAGACCTCTTAACAAACTGGTGAAAAAGGCTGGCTCTGTGGTTGGACTCAAGCTGGACTCAGTGGAGGATGTGGTGGAGAGATGTACACCAAGGAAGGTGGAGACTGTTCTAAAGAACATGGATCACCCACTTCACAACACCTTGATGGACCAAAGGACCAATGGTGGTGGATGGCTCCTGTCTCTTCACTGCAGGACAGAAAGATTCAAAAGATCTTTTGTACCTACAGCCATCAAGCTTTTTAACTCTTGTGTAAATAAAAGATAACTTTGTGAGACATATTATGTGAGACAACAGACAATTGAATTTCCCCTTGGGGTTTTCTCCTTATTCTTATTCAAATAAACATATTGAAGTAATTTATGTGGTGTTTTTGTATTGATTTTCACTGTAAAACCATTTTAGTATCTCTAAATATAAGCTCCATTAGTGTTTAACTCAAATAAAGTGTTGAGTATAAACACTGAAAAATAGTCAGACTATGTTAAATTAAATATAAGAGTTAATTTTACTCCTAATGAGAGTTGTATATTAACTTCCAATAGAGTTCAGTTTTAACTCCCAATGAGAGTTAAATATCAACTCCCAGAACAGATTTAACTCAGCTTTGGAGTCCATTCAATGGTCTCACATGTACACTCAGATTGAGTTGATTTTAACTCTGACAGAGTTTATTCCTGAGGCTTCAATTTGCTGTGTTTTTTCTCTGTGATTTAAAACTCAGAGAGAACCACCAAGGCTGCATAGTTTTTAGACCTGTTCTATTTTAAATTTCATCTATTCTTCCAACTTTTTCCTCATAATTTGGCATATTTTGTTAGAAGTATAAGTGTTTCGGATGGAGGAGAGCTGACAGAAATCCAAATCCATTACAACACACAACTTGCATCCTCCTCCAGAGCTGACACAGAATGCAAAGCATCTCAAACCTCCCTGTCTGTTGTGTCTCATTTCTGTGTCTGTCACAGAAATTGTTTTAGCTGATTAATCCTGTTAATCTTACATTGCTGATGTTCGCACTTGGAGTCCCTGCTCTGATCACTCTCCTCCTGAAGAGGGGAGTGGGCAGGGCAAAAAGAAGTGAGCTGTCATTGACGGAGACAAATGCAGAGGGGGTCGGCCACCGACATCTCTTAGGAGCACTTTCCTTGATTTACCTGCCGCTGAACGACTTCCTGTCGCTGCCACATGAAATGCAGCTCCTGGAAAAACACTATTTTCTTAAGTGTGAGTGCAAACCCACACAGGTTCATCAACACACCCTCCTCCCTCACACAGACTCTCTTTCTCTCTCTCTCTCTCTCTCTCTCTCTCTCTCTCTCTCTCTCTCTCTCACTGACACACACACACACACACACACATTGGGTTGAATTATTTGTGACGGCTCCTCAGTTTTCAGTTGTATGATCCGCTCAGTCTGTGGATGGAGAGCAGATTCTTACTGTAGCTGCAAGATGGAAGCAATTAGAGACAGGCCAGCTGCTGAGAGGGCAACACACACACACACACACACACACACACACACACACACACACACACACACACACACACACGCACACAAGTTTATATTTCAGTGATAATCAGTTTGTATTGACAGTCAGCTCAAGCTGCAATAAAGTTACGTCACAGATCTCATAATATCAGAGCTCATTTTAGCCAGTGGGGATAAATACATACAAACAGCTTTAAAACAAGACCTTATCCTGCTAATTTTGGAAATATTTTCAAATACCAATGATGACCTTCCTCCTTGTATATTGTTTTATCTGATAATATTGGTAGAAAAGAAGATACTAATATCAATGAGAACCTGCATTATAATTATGACTAGCCGTGACACAGGAAGTAGGTTTATCTCATGCAAGCATGCTCCAATATAACCTACACTCACCATGCATGGTAAGGATCAAGACCTGAACACATTCATATGGTTATCAGTTTAAATCAATCAATCAATTTTTTATTTATAAAGCGACAAATCACAACAGTCGCACTCATTCTGGCATGTAGAGGACAGCATCATTCACTCATTTTGTTATGTCTTATAAAGACCCAATCTTAAAATGGGACAGATTTGACTCATCCCATCCAACATAAGTGACAGTGGCAAGGAAAAACTTCCCTTTAACGGGTAGAAACCTTGAGCAGGACCAGACTCATGTTAGACAGCACCTGTTAGACAGAAACAGAGAGAGAAAGGGGGACATGGGACAGGGAGGGAGACATGGGGGGGGGGAGAGGGAGGGGGAGAGAGAGAAAGAGAAGGAGTGAGGGGGAGAGAGAGATGGGGGACAGCAGCAACAGCAAACAACAACACATACAGAGTTCTGGTTGCAGAGCAAATGATGATGGAAGAATATGAATAATGTTGTCAGGATCAGGAATAAGTAATAAAGGACTGATGTTGAATTAATTTGAGGGGATCAAAATCAGCAGACCTAACAGTAGTTAACTCTTGCTTTATGTTATTGATGTTGGTGAGGCTGATGTTATCAATTAATATCTTCATTTTTATGTCTGCAGCAACAGTCCAGGTGGACCTAAGAGACAAAGGAGCTAAGGGCCTGAGGTGGACAGTCATAGATGATGCATCTGGGGTCAGGCAGGTTCACAGCAGGAAACTGTCTGTAGAATCAGTCCAGAGGAACCAAAGAGACTGGGGGCCTCAAGGACACTCAGAGAGATCAAGTTCGTCACTAAAATGGGACATGAAGATCTAAAGGAGAGAAAGGGGGACAGACAGGAGCTCAGTGCATTAGATCTCCCGGCAGTCTTAACCTATAGCAGCATAACTAAGAGGTGGTTCAAGCCTAACAAGCTCTAACTATAAGCTTTATCAAAGAGGAAATTTTTAAGTCTACACCTGAAAGTTGAGAGGGTGTCTGCCCCCCAGACCTCAAGACCTGTGTGTGTGTGTGTGTGTGTGTGTGTGTGTGTGTGTGTGTGTGTGTGTGTGTGTGTGTGTGTGTGTGAGAAAGAGAGAGACAGAGAGAAAGAGAGAGAGATCACAGGAAAGCCTGCTTTCCCACAAAAGTTGCAACATTGTTTCATTTTAAGCAAGAGAACCTGTCCGCTCCCGCAGTCCCCAAGCACAAGTCAATGCTATTTATAATTTAGTTAAAGTAAGCATCTGTCGAGTGTTTATACACATATTCTTGGCTCTAATGATTTAAAAAATATATATAAAGTGGCTTTTTTACCCAAACTTCATATTTATGAAATATATTCAAATGAACGCAAATTAGTACATATATTGCCCAATTTGCAAATTCAAGCATATCATTTCAGAAAAAAATACAAAAAATCTTAGTCTTAATGTAAGTAACCATCTGTGAAGTTTAATTGTGATAGCTGTTGGTTAATTTTTTACACTAGTCACCTGCTATGTCTCGGCTTAAAAATGTGCCTATACAGTATATGAGTGCTGGATCTATGGTCATATAAAGTTGTCACAATATATTACCTATATATAATCATTCATAGGGCCTACTAGAAGTTTTTTGAAAAACAATTTTGTACCTGGCATCAACAATATATCACTCACAGACGGATTAATATGTGAAGTCATGTCTTTCAGAGTACATTTTAAGCCAATTTATTCTCATTTAAAGGTCTTTAAAACATATTTTACACATTTTTCTTGGGTGGTTTTGGCCAAATCCTTTATTATTGGTCTATTTACTATAAATGAAAATCTATAATTAGCAGATTAAGCCAAAATTTCAGAATTAGACCACATCTTAGGAATTATGGTTCATTTCTGGCAGCCATTTTGGATTTTCCCCTTTAAAAGGCATTTAATGGGTCTGAATTTTTGGGCACCTCTTCTGAGATGATGAGATACATCCTAAAGAATATGTGTACCAAATTTGGTGCTTGTATCCACCGCGTAACGATTTGGCCATTTTTTCAAGTTAACAGACCCTACTAAGAGGAGAGGGGCCTGTTAGCTGAAATCTCTACCTCCAATGCTACGTTTAGAGACATTTGGTACAATGAGCAGACCTGCAGACTGTGAGTGTAGTAGTCTCGAGGGAAAGCAGGGTATTGCAAGGTCTTTAAGATATGGTAGAGCCTGGCCATGAAGGACTTTGTATGTCAAAAGAAGGATTTTAAATTCAATTCTAGATTTAATGGGGCCTCCACACCAGATGCAAGTAAAATTATCTACACGCTTAATTCGCATGCATCTAGACGCGTGAATGACTCACTCAATTTGCAAGAATCATTCAGTCCATTTGTGCGTTTTGTGTGTCAACAGATTGCTTAAAAGCCGTTGAAAGATGTTTATGCTAATTTCAACCGTGATCCTTGCCAATTCGTCCAGTGGGGGATCAGTGAAAGACAACGTTTTTTCACAATTTACCAGATAATCCAACCGCCTCACTCACTTTTCTTCAGGCAAGTTTTTTTTTATTCCCCTTTTCATTAAAAAAAACAAGTGGATACGAGAAAGGGGAAGAGTTTCTATCAAGAATGGTAGGAGTGAACCATGTTCAGTACATTGCTGCTTTGTTTTGTTTTGTTGCGGAAAGCCCACATCTGTCAGAGATGTAGGCGTCACCGTGTCTGGGTCTGGGCCAATAGCTGCCCCCACTGACGGCTGTTTCAAGCAGTATTTTCGGGTTACCCAAACCGATTAGGTGACCTTGGCTCGGGCGAGGGTGTCTGATGATTTAAGACCCGAAACACCCTATGACCCCGGGTTTATCACTGATGACTTGTCTAACGCCTGGTTCACACAGGAAGCGCCATGCGCACGCAGCGCCGGCTCACACTTGGCTGTTCACACATAAAGCGTTTTCTGCTGAGCTCTGACACGCCGGTCAGACATCGACTGAGCCCGATAGTGCTCGGCTGTTTCCGTCTGCCCTCAGTTTTCCACACTTACGAGCGCTTTAAAAATGGGTAAATCAATATTTATTAACGTTTTTATTTCGTCATACATAAATTAAATATTGGCAGCATCTTCAGGTATTGTTTTAAATTATTATAAACAACGAATAAATTGGGGAGTCCGTTGACTCCGTTGTATGTGTTGCCTTGTTAGCTCAAGGCTATTGACTGTATCGTAATAAAGTCCCCCTCCTTTGTCTCAATAACATCACTGAATCTCTGCAGCTCTCCCTCCGTGTGTGTGTGTGTGTGTGTGTGTGTGTGTGTGTGTGTGTGTGTGTGTGTGTGTGTGGTCATCGGTAAAAAATAGACTGACAAGCAACACCGTAAATCCTTTTTTTCTAATTTATTGAAATTTACTTTATTTTGAAAATTGACCGGATTCTCTCACATCTCCTGTTCCGACTTCCTGTCTGGTCCGATCTGCTCTGTCCAGCTTTACAATTGGCGCGCGCGGCTCGCGCCAAAAATAGACAGAAGCGGAGCGGCCGCGCGCGAGCTGTGTGAACAGTCTCATAGGTTAACACGGGCGCCGATCCGAAACTCTGTGCTTCTGTTCCGCGCGCGGCGCTTCCCGTGTGAACCAGGCGCAAGTATCACAGGGGTATTTGTTCTACAGGGACTGGATGCCAGACTGATGCCATCTCGTGTAGTTATATTTTTGGAAAATGCCTCTCTAAAGATGCTTAGAACTGAGAACAAGAACTTCAGTTTTGTCTGAGATGAGCATCAGAGAGTTATGGGTCATCCATGATTTTATATCTCTGAGGCAAGCCTCTAGTTTTGTCACCTGTGTAGTGACTTGAATTAATAACAAATGTCCTAAGATTCATTTTGGTAATATGACATTTATGCACTTGTTGAAAGGGGCACCACCCACCTTTAATGGTGGGAAAATAAAGAAAAACAAAGGTTTGATTAAGAAATCAAACATTAAGTTAATCTTAAATCAATTTTAAATCAATCCCATGGGCTCTATTTTCGTGCCTCGCCGGAGACGTGCTGCAGGCGTGGCGTAAGTCAGGTCTGCCACCCCAACAAGGCGTTCCCAAGCACAATTTGGTATTTTGGTGAGCAGCGCAGCCTGGGGTAAGTATCCCCCCTCCCTAACTCAGCTCCTCCGTAAGTCGTAGCGAGGGAGGAGAGAGGGCGTGGAGTGAGTTTAACACAGCCAAGACCTGTTTTCACCAATCACATAAGCTCCTCTCCTCGCCTTTAAATCCGCCACCGGCGAGGCGTATTACTATTTTCGTGAAGTAGTCAAAGAGATCAAGAGATGTCTGAAGACAGTAATGCCACACGATGGCGACAGAAGGCAGCTCCTCAACAATTGTCACTGTAAGCGCTGCATTGGGTGTCCTCCACACTCTCTCATGTGCGCACAGATGGATTTGGTGTGTGTAATGTTGGACCCACTGGTAAGACAATCACCCTTTTCCACAAATAAAGACACATAAAGTTGCATATATTCAAACCTCACGTGACAAAGGTGGGTTGAGCGCACAGATCACAACATTAACTCCAAAAATGGCATTAAAATCGGAACCATCTGTGCGTAAATGACGCATCGCGCTCCGTGGCCTGGCTCTTTCTTTCATAGATGTTGGCATATAAAATAAATTTGGCTCACAAAACTGAATATTATAATAGGCTTAAAGTAAATAACTCACCTGAGCACTGAAATAAATCATCTGTTCAGCCGCTGCAGGACAGAGAGAGGACACGGAGACATATCCAGGTCGAGCTGCGCGAGAAATAAGAGGAAGAAAGAAAAGGAGGGAGACGAATCACATATCTTGTTAACTTCATTATGTGTGTTTATTTACTAGATATTTAATTTAATTTAATTTAATGCGGTTTCAGCTGTGTTGATTCAGTCAGGTTGTGTGTCCAAATGCGTGCCAAACGCGCTCATCAGATCAGAAAAAGATCAGAATATATCTATATAGATCTAAATGTATGTGCTGACTCAGATTATTAGTTGTTGATGATTATTTATTGCACTGAAATGTGCCTGACACTGTCGGTGAGGCATCGGTGACGTATGCCGATACACCGCCGGTCTACCAAAATATCTATAGACCAGCTGCGTTTTGCTTGCGCTGAAAGCTGACCAGGTTTGAATCGGCGAGCTTTCAGCGCACTTTACACGCCACTGGCGAGCACGAAAATGTCACTGCGCCCGCTGATTCTGTCGACACCTCCCCCTGCCACGCCACCACTCCCAGCTTGGTGGATCTCGGTTCGCCTCTGTGCGCCTCAGTCCACAAAAATACCAAACTGGCTTTACGCCGGGCTCTGCCAGACGAAAATACAACTGCGCGGGGTCCGCCACCCTCCGTCACCTCACCGGCGTACACGAAAATAGAGCCTCATATCTCAAGCCAAAATTCTTATTTCAGGGACTCCATCTCTGGAAGAACACTAGCAGACAAGAACTCAAAAATAAATTATCTTTTTCTTACTGGATAAATGATGGTACAGCATACATGCAATAAATGACGGTAAAATAATGAGGATAAATAATTGTGGAGGAACAGGAGATTCGATTCGAGGATTCGAGGATTTGATGCTTAACACATATAAAGAATTGTAGAATCACATGAACGGACATTCTCATTATGCTTTGAGTATCACTTTTCAAAGAACACTGATCATGTAAATTACTCTGAAATGAAAAGGATTGTAACACATATAAACTGTGAATAGCACAAGGGTAAACACATGTAAATGAAGTTCATTACAGTTAATAATGGATTCTACAAACCAACATTCAGATTATTAACTAACAGTATAACTACATAATGGTTAACAAAGTTCAACAAATGATTAAGAGATAAACTAAACATGTCCACACTATTCCTACTAGAATAGGGTCATAATTCAAACAATAAATTCAGCTCTTAAAAGTTCATGAAACAGTTTGGAAAGCTGTTGATCTCAAGGAACTTTAAGACTAAAGGATTTATTCTGTCAGTGTGAGATGTAGCATCAAGACAACCCTGTGTGTGAAACTCACACATTCTTTGCAGGAAAGGTCCCTTATCTGGTCCCAGGACACAAGACAATATAGATCTTTCCAGACTTGTTTGCACTTTCAGGTTACCCAACTGACCCGACCAGAGGTTGACCTAAACCTCTGGTTCTTCGTGATTAGAGAACAGAGACAGAGTTTTTAATTAACCTTTCAAACTGACTCCATCACTGACCATCTAAATAAACATTAATGCCTCAACCCAGGTCTCCCATTTGAGATTTACTCTCTTTAAACTGACCCCAAGCAAATGTCAGATGAGCAGGACATTGACCTCCAGACCTCGGTCATAAAACCCTGCTCAACCATGTTCTGATAAAAACTGCATTCCCTTGGAAAAAGAATACAAATGACTGATAATGACATCTTATGCATTCAGCAATGTACTAATCAGTCTAATCATGAAATTTGTGTTAAAATGAGATGTGTCCCATTTTTCTATGTGGTCTAGAAGCCAAGTTATCACTCTGACAGAATAGATCCTTTATTCTTTAGTTTTTTTAAACCAACAGCTTTTCAGACTGTTTCATGAACTTTTAAGGGTTACATTTATTGAGTATAAATCATAACTTTACTCCAAGTAACAACAATAGTTTAGAAATGTTTGGTTTATAATTTAATCATTTATTTAGTATTTTTAACCATTAGGTGGTTATAAAGTCATTGAATAATCTGAATGTTAGCATATAGAACCCATTATTAATCATGAAGTTCATTCACATGTGTTTACTTTGGTTGTTCACAGTTTCTATGTGTTACTGTCTGTTTCATTTCAGAGTAGTTTAGCATGTTTAATGTGATACTTAAAGCATAACGAGAATGTTTGATGTGATTCTACATTTCATTCATATGTGTTTAGTATCAAATCATTTATCGTGAACCAAGCATTTAATAACATTATTTATAGTGAGTGAGTATCTGATCTGACTCGTTTATCAGCCAAAAATATAAGTTAAATTAAATCATCAGGGATCCTTTAGGTCTCTTCTCCAGGTGCCAACTACGCCTCCTCATACACAGACCCCCAGAGACACTTCCAGTTTGAAGGAGATAAAACCAGTAAAGTTGTGGGTGCTCACTCTCTTCTCTCCAGTTTCTTTGTTTTCCAGGTCTTCTCTTAGCCCTCTTTGTGTTTTCCTCTCTGATCCTCTTAACTCTTAGGGCTCTATTTTCGTGCACGCCGGTGAGGCGACGGAGGGTGGCGGACCCCGAGCAGTTATATTTTCGTCTGGCGGAGCCCGGCGTAAAGCCAGTTTGGAATTTTTGTGGACTGAGGCGCTCGGAGGCGAAGCGAGATCCGCCAAGCTGGGCGTGGTGGTGTGGCAGGGGGAGGTGTCGACAGAATCAGCAGGCGCAGTGACATTTTCGTGCTCGCCAACGGCGTGTAAAGTGCGCTGAAAGCTCGCCGATTCAAACCTGGTCAGCTTTCAGCGCAGGCGGAACGCAGCTGGTCTAGTAGTATTTTGGTAGACCGGCGGCGTATCGGCATACGACACTGATGCCTCATCGGCAGGTTTCCACAGTGTCAGGCACATTTCAGTGCAATAAATAATCAACAACTAATAATCTGAGTCAGCACATACATTTAGATCTATATGGATATATTCTGCTCTATATCTGATCTGATGAGCGCGTTTGGCACGCGTTTGGACACACAACCCGACCGAATCAACACAGCTGAAACTTCTTCCTCTTATTTCTCGCACAGCTCGACCTGGACACGTCTCCGTGTCCTCTCTACGTCCTGCTGCGGCTGAACAGATGATTTGTTTCAGTGCTCAGATGCGTTATCTACTTTAAGCTGACATATGGATATCATAATATTCAGTTTTGTGGGCCAAATTTATTTTATATGCCAACATCTATGAAAGAAAGAGCCAGGCCACGGAGCGCGATGCGTCATTTACGCACAGATGGTTCTGATTTTAATGCCATTTTTGGAGTTTATGTTGTGATCTGTGCGCTCAACCCACCTTTGTCATGTGAGGTTTGAATATGTGCAACTTTATGTGAGTGTCTTTATTTGTGGAAAAGGGTGTTTGTCTTACCAGTGGGTCCAACATTACACACACCAAATCCATCTGTGCGCACATGAGAGAGTGTGGAGGACGCCCAATGCAGCGCTTACAGTGACACTTGTTGAGGAGCTGCCCTCTGTCGCCATCTTGTGGCATTACTGTCTTCAGACATCTCTTGATCTCTATGACTACTTCATGGAAATAGTAATACGCCTCGCCTGTGGCGGATTTAAAGGCAGGGAGAGGAGCTTATGTGATTGGTGAAAACAGGTCTCGGCTGTGTTAAACCCACTCCACGCCCTTTCTCCTACCTCGCTACGACTTACGCCGCTGGGAGGAGCTGAGTTAGGGAGGGGGGATACTTACGCCGGGCTGCACTGCTCACCAAAATACCAAATTGTGCTTGGGAATGCCTTGTCGGGGCGGCGGACCTGACTTACGCCGCGCTTGCGGCACGTCTCCGGCGAGGCACAAAAATAGAGCCCTTACTCTTTTTACTTAGTCTTACTTTTTCTTAGTCTGCTAAGTTTTACGCCACGTATTTATTCACATGGATTTTTCTTCAACATTGTCTTAGTTCAAGTTTTGAAACTTCAACTTTTTGTGCGCATCGCAATTCAAGATTAAGCATTTAATTGATCTTTCTTTAATTTCGCAAAGCCATTTTTGAAATAGTTTTGTAGCAATCAAGACAACCCTGGGTGTGAAACCCACACATTCCTCAGAGGAAAGTTTCCTTATCTGGTCCCAGGAAACAGGATATAAATCTTTCCAGACTCGTTTACACTTTCAGGTTAAATAAGTGACCCAACCGGAGGTTGACTAAACCTCTGACTCTTCACGATTGGTCGATTCGGAGAACAGAGACAGAGTTTTTATTACCTTTCAAACTGACTCCATCGCTGACCATCTAAATAAACATTAACCTCAACCCAGATCTCCCATTTGAGATTTAGCGTCTTAAAGTGTGTGAACATACGGACCCCAGGAAAAGGGGGGACACTGACCTCCAGACCTCGGTCGTAAAACCCTGCTCGACCATGCACTGATAAAGACTACATTCCGTTGGTGAAAGAATACAAATGACTGATCATGACATCTTATGCATTCAGCAATGTACTAATCTGTCTAATCATGAAATTTGTGTTAAAATGAGATGTTTCCCGTTTTTCTATGTGCTCCAGAAGCCGAGTTATCGCTCTTTAGTTTCTTTAGACCAACAGCTTTTCAGACTGTTTCATGAACTGTTAAGAGTTTAATTTATTGACTATGGATCATAACTTACTCTATGAACACAGAAATAGTTTAGAAATGTTTGGTTTATATTGTAGATGTTTATTTAGTATTTTTAACCATTAGGTGGTTATAATGTCATTGAATAATCTGAATGTGAGTATTTAGAATCCATTATTAATCATGATGACGTTCATTCACATGTGTTTACTCTTTTGTTGTTCACAGTTTCCATGTGTTACTCTCTGTTTCATTTCAGAGTAATTTAGCATGTTCAATGTGATACTTAAAACATAATGAGAATGTTTGATGTGATCCTGCACTTCATTCATATGTGTTTAGTATCAAATTATTTATCATGAAACCTAGCATTCAATGATATTAATTATAGTGAGTGAGTATCAGATCTGACTCTTTTACCAGCCAAAAGAATAAGTTAGATCAAATAATCAGAGATTCCACGACCCCTCCTTTCTCCTCACACACACACCCCGGAAACACTCCCAGTGTGAGAAGATAAAACCAGTGAAGTGGGGTTGCTCTTTTTCTCTTCACTCTCTTGTTCACTCTTATTCTCTCTAGACTCTTATACCCTCTCTTCTGCCCACACCCTTCTGTGGTGCGTTTCTTTGTTTTCTCTTAGAACTTTTTCTTAGTCTAACTAAGTTTACGCCACGTGTTGATTCACGTTGATTTTTCTTTAACATCGTCTTAATTCAAGTTTTGAAACTTCAACTTTTTGCGCACATAGCAATTCAAGATTAAGCCTTTGATTGATTTTTCTTTAATTTCGCGAAGCCATTTTTGAAAGTTTTCTCTGCTCGAGTCTCGTTTTTCTGAGTTATCTGCGTGATTTCAAGTTACCTCTGAACGCAACCCAGCAGGCCCAGGTCATCCTCTGTGCCAGAGTTTTGAGTGAGACCAAAGAAGTACCCAAACGAGCATCCACAGGAGCCACAGGCGCTGGCTTTGCTTCGGGCCCGAGTGCTGCAACTCCTGGCTCATCCTTCGGCTGACTTCAGTCGTCTTCAGAGCTGAACCCCTTGAACCGCCAGTAGCCCCGGACCTTCGGAACCTGCTCTATCTTCTCCAAGGACCAGTCTCACTTAAGTATGCAAACCTCCAGAGCTCCAAAGAGGGCTGGTGCTGTCTCCTGCGTTCATAACTCAGATATCCACTTATTCTGGTAATCTTAGATTCCTCCAAATCCACATCCGAGTTTATCTCGACACCAAAGTTAGTGTAGGTTAATATGTTAGCGCATATTCACTCACTATCATTAACTTTAGTGCTCCTAGTCTGACTCAGAATCTTTATTTATTCACCTATTATTATTTATCTTCATTATCTTATCATCATTTATTGCATGTGTGTTGTACCATCATTTATCCTGTAATAAACAGATAATTATTTTTCTAAGTTCTGGTCTGTTAGTGTTCTTCCAGAAGTGGAGTCCCTGAAATTAGAATTTCGACTTAAGATATGAGACTGATTAATTAAAACTGATTAATTAAAACTGACTTGATGTTTGATTTCTGAATTAAACTTTTGTTTTCTTTATTTTCCCACCATTAAGGGTGGGTGGTGCCCCTTTGAACGAGTGCATAAATGTCATAATTTAAGATTATTAATCTTCAGACAATTTATTATAAATTCCAATCGCTACAGTATTATTTTGGTGCGGCCTTGTGAGGCTCATTTCAAATCGCTGCATATATTTTGGTGCGACCGTGTGAGGCTCATTTAAATCACTACATATATTTTGGTGCCCCGTGTGAGGCGTTTCAAACAAAACTTCTGGATACTAACAGACAACCTAAAACTTAGCTTCCAAATTGATGAGAGAAACTTATTTCCCGGCTATTTTAGACTTAATCACAATCAATGCTATGCTTGCTGAAGTTGCTTGACTAAGTTCTGATGTTTTCCTGATCTATGCATAAAACCTTTGTGCTCTGTGTTTCACACACTTTTGTACTACATGCCTGTAGTCTGTGTTTGAGCTGGACAGCGTGAAATGTTGTTCTGAGTAGCAGTGAGACTGCTTCTTCTGCTCTGTCTAGACTGTCCAATATTTAAGTGCACGATTGTTGCGTCGCCGTACGCTTGTATTTAAGGCCTTTGGCTGAACCCAGTGTTCGCGATGCTCCGAGCTGTGGTTTCAAGCCCCTGAAGTCTCTATAGTCTGCTACGAGGTTCTAGTAACTATATGGGATTCAGATTTCCTCCTTTCCCCTGACAGATTAGCTACCTGTCACAGGAAACCACTGTAACAGTGGGAGGTTGTTGTTTGATTGAATTCAGACAAAATTTGTGTTCACAAATCGCTGCATTTGTGATTTTAAGTTTGCAGTTGAATCTGCTGTTTAAGGATTTGTCACTTTGATTCTTGTTCCTGTAAATGATTCTATTGAACCAATCTGCCTGAGCAGATGGTGTAAAGTTCTATGTCTGAGGGTGCAGATGCAGCCTGCTGTGAAATGTTAACCCTTTGTTGTCAGTGGAGAGACTGACCTTTTGGCCTTAAGCAGATAAGGCCCTTCAAGGAGGCAGAGCCTAAAGGCCCCTTCCCTCATGCTTCCCAACTTCACACAGCCACGAGAGGCTAGTTGGATGACTGTTTCCTCTTTTCTTCTTCTTCTCTACTTGTGTTGAGCTTGTGCAGTTCTCCCAACTCCATACTGCCCCACATGGTTGCTTTTGGTATTGAGCTAACACTGCTATTATCTGCCTGCAGTATCAGCCAGCTGTACTGCCTCTCTGTAGTCAGTGTGTAACACTCTACAGACATAATTCAAGTGATTGACTTGGTTGATGAAGTTTGATGTGCTTATTCTAAATCACTGATCATTGATTTTGATTTTTATCTTTGTTATAAGAGCCTCCATGATGTATTGATGAAGTAACTCCTTGAATCAATCACCTGATCTGTTGTTACTTATCACACCAGTGAGCAGTTTTACTGTTCCCTATAATACGTGAATGTATTAACCCTCCTCATAAGATTGATTAATTAATTAATGAACAAATTAATTAATATTTGAAATTTCTTTTAACACTCCAGATGGATTTGGTAGTTGAACCTTTGGATTTATTGCAATTTGTGAATTAACTTCAGAGTTAATTCCTTAAATTGACAATTTCATTGATTTTTCAAATTCATCCAACTGCATCAGGCAGTTTATTTAAGCTTTGCCGATCTCTGCAACACGGAGACAAATTGAACCCTTTATTCAATGGTTCTGTATCTGATGTTAAATTTAATTTAACATTATTTCACCTTGTTTTTCTTTCAATTTTTATTGAAATGAATTTAACTTAATGTTTTTTTTCTCTCCATTAGATATCTACTCAGATAGGCTCTTCCTCTTTATCAAGCACTGATAAATTAAGTCGATTAACCCACTTAATTTGATATTGTGCTTCTTCCTTTCATTTTAAGTCAACTCAAACTCATCAACCAACCAGCTGCACCTCTTTACCAAAACCAAACATGCCTAACACAAAAGAGTCCAGCCAGGGAGACCCCCTGAGGGACATACACACAGTGTTGGCAAACTTGACTAGTCAGCTGATACCTCAGTACATGACTAAGATTCGAAAGGCCAAACCCTCCAATCCGGAGGATGCAATGGCTGACTTACTGGAAACAGCCTTAACCACGACACTGCGTGACAAAGAGCTCACTAGATGCATGTCTGTCGTGATGTCTTCTCAGCTTGAGTATAAAGACTACTTGCTGGAATGCGCTTTAGCAAAGATAAAGACGCAAAAAGATGAAAACAGCGCACTGAAAAAGACGCTAGAGGAGACTAAGAAGTCTCTAAGTGTTTTAGAAAAACACAGTGCCAGATGTGAAGCGTCAAAGCTTCCCTCACTGATAAGTCATGAAGAAAATCTTGATCTCAAAGACAAGATTGAAAGACTTAATGAAACCCTTTACAAAAAGGAGAAAGAACTTGATGACACGAATAAGCAGCTTGCTAAGACCACAGAGGATCTGATACAGTCAGAATCCCTACTAGAGCAAGCAACAGAAGATGTAAATGCTTTGAAAGCACTGGTCAAAGTGCGTGCTGAAGCTCTTGAAGTTAAGGAGAAGCAAACTTCTACCTTACAGCACCAGCTACAGATAGCTCAGAGACAGTTAATTCTTTGTCAAGAACGGCAAGAAAAGACAGACAAAGAACTTGAAGATGCCCAAAGAGAGTTACAATGCTCCCTCCAGTCAGGTCGAGCCCAAAGAGAACGCATGGAGCAAACATTTCTTGAAGAAATGATAGGTGATCAGCCTCCTGAGAGAGCGCCATCACTTCCTTCCAAACCAACTCTTAAGTATCTCTCTCAGCATCATGACAGGACCCTGCTTGACCCTGAGAGGTCATCCTTAAGCCAAAAGTCCTACTCTCCTCCTCATGATGGCTTCTTACCATCTCCCTCAGATAGGGATCTTGACAAAATTGCTCGCAACGTAGCACGCTTTGAACCTGAGCACCAAGGTGCTACTGACACCTGCACCTACTTGAAAGACATTGACTTTTACCTGAGGAAATTTCCAGGTGCCACCATTGATGACAAAATCTACCTTATTAAGGCGACGTCAAGTCGAGAGGTTAGCAGTTTCCATGAACAACAGCCTTATCATGTCAGAAATAATTATGACTTGCTCTGCCAAGCATTAATTGAAGAGTTTTCTGATTATTTGACCCAGACAGGCCTTTCTGCTGCTCTGTCTATTAAACAAGGGAGATCAGAATCTCCCCAACAATATTACAACCGCTTACGCGAAGCTTACTTTGGTTTCCGAAATGAACCAGAAATGGAGGAGGACTTGAACTTCAAAACGCTGTTGGTCCAGAACCTCCACCCTACCACCAGTCATCACCTTGGCGTCTTAGCTTGTCCAAACACTTTGACTAGCCGACAGCTTCGTGAACTTGCTGTAAAAGGTTTTGCCAAACAACGACAAACTTTGGCTAAGAAGGCAGAGCCCGTTACTCTCTTGGCTATGGAGACAAAATCACTGCCCATGGAGCTGAACGAAACTTCAGACTGTGTATTTTCAGGCTCCGATAAGCCTCCAAATGAGTGGTTAACCTGGCCTCCAAAACCTTTTCGACCTCAACAAACTCACAAAGGTCAAAGTTACACACCAAGGCCCAGGTCTGACACAGACCAATGCCGGGTAAACTTTGAGACCAACTGTTGTTATTCAGACTCCTGTCACGGTGGGTTTTATCCTAGACAAAGGAAAAACCATCAACACCGCCAAAGGGGGGTGAATGACTGGCAGAATCAGAGTAAATCACACTCGATCTCGAAACGACGATCTTATTATCCACCTCAATCGGTTTCATCCACTTTGAAGGTGAATAAACATGACCACTCAGCTAACCACTGAGATTAACACTGTGGAGTCATGAAGGCGTGAGTCCTGCGAAAGCAGAAGTCACCCAGCCAAAGCTAAATGACTCCCATAAGATATCCAAATGCTGTGGTGATACATTGATGACTGCAACCCAGTTGCTGCTTTCTTTGTTAGCATTTGTCTCTCCTCTGTCAATATGGTCAGCTTGTCAGCTGTCAAATATCCCATGAACAGATTAAAAGCTGAAATTTCTGTCATTGAGACTCAGATTGACAAATTTCAGACTCAACAGCAGATAATTAGTCAAACCAATAAGAGCATCATCCCCAAGTTTAACAGACAAAGCTTAAGAGAAACTCTGTGCAGTAAACTTTTGATGTTTGTGATTCAGGTTGACTATGCTCATACACAGATGGTTAATATGTCTATAGCAGACATTTCTTTTCCACCAAAGTCTTAACCATTTTTGAAACTGAAATGGAACTTTCAGACTTCTCCAGCAAGCGTGAAAAACAGCTATAGCTTTAGATCCAGTTAGCATTCAGACTAAAGAGTGCTTTTCTAAATCTCATTAATACTAAAAATTAGGAGATTTTCTTTCACATTAGTCTACCAATAGTTAACTGAGAAAAGTCTAAAAACTAGACGATTTTATTTGATAGCTTAATGCATGCTTAATTTTATCTCAAAGCAGTCCTAGTGATTCACATAGTGACGATGAGACGCATCAGTCCTATTTGCATATACCTGCTGCTGCTGCTGCTTCATGGTTGTCTACTCGTCGTCCCGATGCTCCATAGACAGGACCACCGTGACGAAGGGGGGACTGTAGCAATCAAGACAACCCTGGGTGTGAAACCCACACATTCCTCAGAGGAAAGTTTCCTTATCTGGTCCCAGGAAACAGGATATAAATCTTTCCAGACTCGTTTACACTTTCAGGTTAAATAAGTGACCCAACCGGAGGTTGACTAAACCTCTGACTCTTCACGATTGGTTGATTCGGAGAACAGAGACAGAGTTTTTATTACCTTTCAAACTGACTCCATCGCTGACCATCTAAATAAACATTAACCTCAACCCAGATCTCCCATTTGAGATTTAGCGTCTTAAAGTGTGTGAACATACGGACCCCAGGAAAAGGGGGGACACTGACCTCCAGACCTCGGTCGTAAAACCCTGCTCGACCATGCACTGATAAAGACTACATTCCGTTGGTGAAAGAATACAAATGACTGATCATGACATCTTATGCATTCAGCAATGTACTAATCTGTCTAATCATGAAATTTGTGTTAAAATGAGATGTTTCCCGTTTTTCTATGTGCTCCAGAAGCCGAGTTATCGCTCTTTAGTTTCTTTAGACCAACAGCTTTTCAGACTGTTTCATGAACTGTTAAGAGTTTAATTTATTGACTATGGATCATAACTTACTCTATGAACACAGAAATAGTTTAGAAATGTTTGGTTTATATTGTAGATGTTTATTTAGTATTTTTAACCATTAGGTGGTTATAATGTCATTGAATAATCTGAATGTGAGTATTTAGAATCCATTATTAATCATGATGACGTTCATTCACATGTGTTTACTCTTTTGTTGTTCACAGTTTCCATGTGTTACTATCTGTTTCATTTCAGAGTAATTTAGCATGTTCAATGTGATACTTAAAACATAATGAGAATGTTTGATGTGATCCTGCACTTCATTCATATGTGTTTAGTATCAAATTATTTATCATGAAACCTAGCATTCAATGATATTAATCATAGTGAGTGAGTATCAGATCTGACTCTTTTACCAGCCAAAAGAATAAGTTAGATCAAATAATCAGAGATTCCACGACCCCTCCTTTCTCCTCACACACACACCCCGGAAACACTCCCAGTGTGAGAAGATAAAACCAGTGAAGTGGGGTTGCTCTTTTTCTCTTCACTCTCTTGTTCACTCTTATTCTCTCTAGACTCTTATACCCTCTCTTCTGCCCACACCCTTCTGTGGTGCGTTTCTTTGTTTTCTCTTAGAACTTTTTCTTAGTCTAACTAAGTTTACGCCACGTGTTGATTCACGTTGATTTTTCTTTAACATCGTCTTAGTTCAAGTTTTGAAACTTCAACTTTTTGCGCACATAGCAATTCAAGATTAAGCCTTTGATTGATTTTTCTTTAATTTCGCGAAGCCATTTTTGAAAGTTTTCTCTGCTCGAGTCTCGTTTTTCTGAGTTATCTGCGTGATTTCAAGTCACCTCTGAACGCAACCCAGCAGGCCCAGGTCATCCTCTGTGCCAGAGTTTTGAGTGAGACCAAAGAAGTACCCAAACGAGCATCCACAGGATCCACAGGCGCTGGCTTTGCTTCGGGCCCGAGTGCTGCAACTCCTGGCTCATCCTTCGGCTGACTTCAGTCGTCTTCTGAGCTGAACCCCTTGAACCGCCAGTAGCCCCGGACCTTCGGAACCTGCTCTATCTTCTCCAAGGACCAGTCTCACTTAAGTATGCAAACCTCCAGAGCTCCAAAGAGGGCTGGTGCTGTCTCCTGCGTTCATAACTCAGATATCCACTTATTCTGGTAATCTTAGATTCCTCCAAATCCACATCCGAGTTTATCTCGACACCAAAGTTAGTGTAGGTTAATATGTTAGCGCATATTCACTCACTATCATTAACTTTAGTGCTCCTAGTCTGACTCAGAATCTTTATTTATTCACCTATTATTATTTATCTTCATTATCTTATCATCATTTATTGCATGTGTGTTGTACCATCATTTATCCTGTAATAAACAGATAATTATTTTTCTAAGTTCTGGTCTGTTAGTGTTCTTCCAGAAGTGGAGTCCCTGAAATTAGAATTTCGACTTAAGATATGAGACTGATTAATTAAAACTGATTAATTAAAACTGACTTGATGTTTGATTTCTGAATTAAACTTTTGTTTTCTTTATTTTCCCACCATTAAGGGTGGGTGGTGCCCCTTTCAACCAGTGCATAAATGTCATAATTTAAGATTATTAATCTTCAGACATTTATTATAAATTCCAATCGCTACAGTATTATTTTGGTGCAGCCTTGTGAGGCTCATTTCAAATCGCTACATATATTTTGGTGCGACCGTGTGAGGCTCATTTAAATCACTACAGTTTCGACTGGCCATCAAGCCTACTTTTTAATCTCCGTGATTGCAAAGTCACCCCTGAATGCCACCCAGCAGGCCCAGTCATCCTCTGTGCCAGAGTTTTTGTGAGACCAAAGAAGCATCCAAAGGATATATTAAGCGCTGTTTTTTGCTTCGGGCCTGAGTGCTGCGACTCCTGGCCCATCTTTCGGCTAACTTCGGTCATCTTCTGAGCTGAATCTCTCGAACCGCCGGTAGCCCTGGACCTTCCGTACCTGCTCCATCTTCTCCAAGGGCCAATTTCACTTAAGTATGCAAACCTCCAGAGTTCCAAACAGGGCTGATGCTGTCTCATGCTAAATGATTGAATTTTTTTCTTTATTTTATAATCCTAAATTCATCCAAATCCACATTCAATTTATCTTGACACCAAAGTTAATGCAGGTTAATATGTTAGAGCATATTCACTTACTATCCTGTACTAGCCTGACTCAGAATCTTTTATTACTCACCTATTATTATCTATCCTCATTTTCTTATCATCATTTATTGCATGTATGTTGTACCATCATTTATCCTGTAATAAACAGATCATTATTTTTCGTTCTTGTCTGTTAGTTTTCTTCCAAGTGGAGTCCCTGAAATGAGAATTTCAGCTTGAGATATGAGATTGATTAATTTAAGATTGACTTAATGTTTGATTTCTGAATTAAACTTTTGTTTTTCTTTGTTTTCCCACCATGAAGTGTGGGTGGTGCCCCTTTCAACGAGTGCATAAATATCATAAATTAAGATTATTATCAATTATTAATCTTAAGACATTTATTATCAATTCAAATCGCTACAGAGATCTTGGCTTATGAACATGATCGACAAATGGGACAAAGACTGTTTTACTGCAAATGTTTAGTACTGACAGAAGATCGTTGTGCAGTGTCCACCCAACCTGTAATAAGACTAGTTGTAGTTATTCTCTTTGGATTGTACTCAAAGAGAACACAGGGAAGATCAACCATAGTTAATATTTATGGTTAAACTGATAAACCTGTCACTTTCCAGTCAAGGTGTGATGACAAATGTTTAACTGATTGAGTGGTCCTGCAGTTCTTTCCTGCTGGCAATAAACTATCCTGTCTCTGTCTTTTGAAGTAGAAAGGATAAAAGGTTTGTCCTTTTGAGAAGGCTTCTTTGGTTGTCTTCTAAAGACAGGAGGTTGTAGAAAGGTTGTGATTTGGTGTTAAAGGTCTACACCATCTCATCTCCAGTGACCAGATGTAAGCCTTACATTCCTTTGGGAGTTTGGATGTAAAAGTGGTCATCTCTGCTACACCCAATTTGTTCCTCCTGGCTTCATGGATAAGAATAACTGAGTGTCCACTGCATAACTGTGAAAATTAACCTAGTCTTTCCACATAATTTTACCCAAGAGAAGCATGTTAAAAGTGAAAAGAATTGGTCCAAGCACTGAACCTTGTGGGATACCGTAGCTGACTTTGGTATGCACAGAGGATTTATCATTAACGTGGACAAACTGGGATCTGGTAAAAAGGATTTAAACCAGGATAGAGCAGTTCTTGCAATTGGTTGTTCTAGTCTCTGTAGCAGGATGTGATAGCCGAATGTATCAAATGCAGCACAAAGATCTAGCAGGACAAGAACAGAGGGAAAACCATTGTCCAAAGCCATACGTAGGTCATTTGTCACCTACTGGACTCTAAATCCTTAGTGAAAATTCTCCAAAAAACTATTGCTATGAAAAAAAAAATCACAAAGCTGATTCACATCACAAACCACAAATCCTTTCTCTAGGATTTTAGAAATAAAGGGAAGGTTAGATATCGGTCTAGAGTTAGATAAAGTGCCTGAGTCAAGCGTAGGTTTTTTAAGAAGAGGTTTAATCACTGCAGTTTTCAAAGACTAGGACATATCCTATTAATAATGACATATTGGATTAAATGCTGAATTAAGAGAAAACAGAGTTACCTCCATTAACTTTGCTACAGCACTTTCAGACAACCTTCTAGTTGGCGGCGTTTTATTGTGAGGAGAATAGCCTGATAGCACATTTTCAAAAGCTATAAGGAAGCGGTCTGATAAAAGGGGATTTAGCAAGCTGACTTAGAAGGTTTAAGCTTCAAGGGCATAAGCCAGGACAAGATCGAGGGTGTGGTAAAAACATTGTGTAGGTCTGTGTACACACTGTGTAAACTCAACTGAGTCTAACCGAGACAAGAAAGCAATGCTAAGGCTATCTTAATCCACATCCACATGAATATGAAAGTCACCTACAACAACGACCTTGTCTGCACTGAGGACTAGATCAAAAAGAAACTGAGAAACTGAGAAAACTCTTAGTATGGATTGGGAGGGCAAGGGAGCAAATAGTACTGGTCTCGTGGTCTTTGAGGCTGGATGTGGGAAACTAAGAAGACATTAATTTTAAGACTGGAATTATAAGTAGCTGCAACTCCACCACCCCGGCCAGAGTAGCAAGGGCTAACAAAATCAGTCAGATTTCTGGATAAACGAGCCGCACCATCCCGAGTACGATGAATTCTGTCCCAACTAATCAGACCAAGTTTGCCCCCAAAACAGGACACTTGAACGACAGCTGCACCAGTCTCCAGAAACCAGCAGCTGCTTCAGGAGGTCTTTTAGCTTTATTGCTGCTCCAGGACTGTGTGAAAAAATGTAGTCCAGTCAGTGATATAATCAGTCACCTAACTGGCCTCAAAGATGGACATCATTATCGTATTAATGGGCTGTGATGCTCATATTTCTCCCAGCTGAATGTTAATTAACACTATGAGGATATTTTAGTCTTCATCATTGTCTCAGAAGGAAGGTCTCCCTGCTTTAATAATGAGTTTTATAAAGGCATACATTACTGCAGCTCTGCATTATGACTCAGTCATGCCTGTCATGACCCATTTCAAAGTACCTCTTCACTTATACTGATTTAATGAACTTGCTTCAGTTTGTCCTTTAGACTTCTTGACAACAATGTCATTTTAATAAGGAGTCTCCTGAAATAGACAGGAAGTAGTGTCACTTTAAAGGGAGATGCAGCAGGAGGAGACTGCAGAGAGCTCTCAGAGACTCATCTTGTTATACGCTGTCGTATCACGTTGACAGGACGGGGAGAGTGACCTTTAAGAGATGAAGACTTCAGTAGGGATGGCCTGATGAGAACAAATAAATCTATGAATCAAACTTTATTTAAATAGCACCATTCACACAAAAAAATGTAGAGCAAAGTGCTGCCCATGCAAGCAGGATATAAAAATAACTAGATAATTCCCTCTGGGAAATTTTAAAAGGGCTACGACAGCCACTGCTGGGGTGTGAGGGGTTTCTTTAGAGATTTCAAAAAATTAATATTAGTAGCATTGTGATATTAAATACAAGGGGCACACCTACAACTACCATTCCTTTTTCAAGTATTCATTCATATAATAAATTACCAGAATCATACTAGTAGATGTGTGAGAAACTCCAATACTTTCTTTTTTGTTTGGCTTGTACCGTTGACTTCAATGCAAAGTTTCTTGTGACTAACATCGCCAAAACTTCAAATACAATAGAGAAAAGTAATAACAAACTGATCCCTGTTGAACTGCTCATTTTTATATTTAATATGTCATACAACTCTTCAAACTGTAAGACTGTAGTAGCAAGTCGAAATTTGTCTGGAGGAGGAATAAGAAAAAATCCACAGTTTAAGAATAGTGACTCTATCTACCCTGAGGCATTATCAGAGTCTGAAGTCTCATGTGTCATCTCATCAACGAATTACAGAAGAATTAAACAGTAACAAATTGAAAAATCCACAGTATAGCAGTAGTGTATAACATTATTTTACAGGGGCCTGCTGTAGAATTTATATGTAGCATGTCAATTGTTTAAAGGCCAGTTCCTCTGTATATGTCCCTGTGGCTCAAATAAGTTTTTTTTATATTTTGAGTCAGGTTTTTTTTTTTTTTTTCTCGCTCATCAATCAAATTGCTCTTAAATATTTCAATGATGCAGAGATATCAGAGCAGTCCCTGATTAGTGAATTGTGCTGGTTGCCCATTACTATAGCTGCACCGCAGACTGAGGCAGTAGCTCCTATCAGAAAAAAAGCAGTTGAGTGGTCATTGTAATGACTTTCTGACTGTTTTGATTTTTTGGTGTTTTTGGTGTTTTCTACAGTTAACATACTTGCAAGTTATAAACAGGAGTCCCTGCTGCTTCTCTCAGAAAATCTTTGTATTAGTGTCAATGAGGAGCAGAGAGAGACATTGCCGCACTTTGAGGCTCAGTATTTAAATTATGCAAGTCTCTCTGCTCAGATGAACACATTGTTAGAGACAGAACAAATGTGTCCTCAACTGTGGAAAAAAAATAACATGCGTCAGAGTGTAATTTGTGGTTGGAAGGAGCATGAAAAGACAAAAGTTTCAGATGATTTCATGCAACTTCTCTAAATCTAGCTGATGATGTCACCCATACAATACACACCTATTAAATCTCAAAATTTCTCCAAAAATGATCATGATCATTGAAGAGTGATGGATCAAAAACTACACTACCTATCAAAATGTGAATCAATACACAAATTGACAAGACTTGTATCTACATTTTTAAGTTTGAATGGAGTCTCTAGGTGAAAGTATGCAGAGCAGGTAGATGTTTGAAAAACTCCAATAATTGCTAGTTTTTGGCTCGTCCCATTGACTTCAATGCACTTCCCCCCCCCATAGTGTATGCAACAAAGCAATAGCACACTGATCCTGATCAATCCACATGTTTTGATATATCATTTGTCATACAACTCCTCAAGCTGTAGAACTAGAAGCAAATCAAAATCTGTCCAGAAGAGGAATAAGCAAAAATCCACAGGCACTGGCATCTGTACAAGTACATAGGGACCTGTATGCCTGGGTATGCTTGCCCCATGGTCCTGAGAAAATAGAATAAATAAAATCCAAATACAGAACCCCACCCACCCTCTTGACCCACATTCAACACCTAAAACAGTTACATGCTCACACACAGAGACGCACACACAAAAGACTAGGTGAGGACTCTTCAGTTGAAAATGAGGAGACACTGAACCTAAGACTAAAGGGACAAAACCATAATAAGATATAATAAGGGTAATTTTTTGCTCCAGTTCCTCTCTCTATGGATCTGTACCAATAACTAAAACCTGAGTGTTGCCCTGATTTAGCTGCAAAAAGTTGTCTGCCATACAAGACTGGACATCTAAAATACAGTTAAAGGGGGCATCAATGGGCTCTGTGTCATTAGGAGACATGGCAATCGAAAGCTGGGTGTCATTAGCATAGCTGTGAAAGTTGATGCCATGCCTCCTGATGAAGATAAAGATAACATGTAGAGATTAAAAAGTGTTGGGCCGAGAATCAAACCCTGGGGAACACCGCATTCCATATCATATTCTTTATAAGCACCCCTCAGTGGTTTTATGATTTGTTAGTGGTGTTAGGGGTGATAATTAAAGCAGTTTACTGGTGTAGAGTTTTGTTGTGGGACTGATAGTGTGGGATGGATCCTGGCTCCTCGTAGACAGTACCAATGACATCAATAGTAGCGGGACTAATCAGAGGGCGTTCAAGGGGGTGCAGTGATTTGTTTACCTGAGAATGTTACACATGGGTGGAGGACGCCTTGAAAAATGTTTCCCGTAAGCAGTTTTACCCCCAGCAACTTCGGATCAACACCATCAACCTTTAGCTGAGCAGATAAGGAAATAATCGTTCACTTTGTTATACAAGCATGAAATTTGGTACATATACTCTTCAAACCCCACTCTTTTCAAAAATAACGTTAGCCACGCAAAATTCCAAGATGGCGGCCCCAAAATCCAAGATGTCCGCCCCAAAAATGTGGTTTTTCCTTTATAACTCAAAATGACTTGATTTTATGCCCCATACATATATTGAAGTTGAATATAAAGTTGGGTATTGCGGACATTTTGGTAGCCAGTACATCTCTGTATCCATTACGGTTCTTGAGATATAGCATATAGATACTTGTACAGAATTGGGAGAGTGAGAAATTTGTAACACCGATTGTTGTTACGTGCATATGGTTGCATGAAAATATCATTTCCATTATCTGTTATTTTCATGAGGGTTGTAACATTAAATTCGAAAACCAAGATGGTGTCCAAGATGGCTGCCATTGCCTTGAAGTAATCATGAATTCAGCAGAGATGAATCATGAATTCAGAAGGATGAAACTTGTCAAAAAAGGTTAAAAATTAGGCATTTTGTGACAATTTTCTGATTTTTGTTATGGTGTTAGGTATGTGTATAAGGTTTTGAAAAAACACCGCAAACAATATGGGTGCGCCCCCTAGTGGTTTGTTTGCCCAGAATCCAAAATTCAACACCTCAGTTTGAAACCCAAAATAAGTGACAAAAGAGATTTTTCAATGGATTCTGTTACTACTGGATATGGGAGGTGGGGGGGGGGGGGGGGTCTGTTGGACATTGTGGACATTGCCAAGACATTTGTTTCGCTTAAAGGGCAACTACTCTCTGGCTACTTGAGGGGGAGGCCACGTGGAGGCTGTCTTCTTGGCTATTGGAGAGTTGGCTGTCCAGAAGATCTGCTATTCCTCACCAACATTTTGATATCCCCAGTCTGCAGGGTCCTCTGCTTCTGGCTGACACTGGGTTGCCTGGGCCCACACACAACCAGCCTGATAGGCAGCACGCCTGGTGTGTTGGAGTAGAGCTGCTCTGGTTGGTGGGATAGACTCATAGGGCCTCTGCTTTCTGGCAAACAAGTCAAGCCTGGCCTCATCCACAGTAGCAGCTGTGCTGGATCTGTCATTCATGAGAATGACAAGCTTCTCAAGCACCTCTATGTCGCAGTCCTCCACTGTGGGAGGGTAAATACCCAGTTTGGCGAATACAGGCAAGGATTATGGACATATGTCCCATGTATGCCAAGCCATTTTCTTGCCTTTGTTGCGGAAGGCAGACACAGTGTCACATCCTGTAAAGGCATGGAAGAAGAGCATGCCTTTGACCTTCTCCTGGCCAACATGCTGAAATATGTCATGCACACTGATCCAGCGCAGAGTCTGACCTTGCCTAAATGCAAGCCACATATGCTGTAGGCCAGCCTCTTGGAGACCGCTGAATACACTTATTGCTAAGATCAGAACATCTGTGTCATTTGCCTTGATCATGATGGCTTGGCTACCAGTTGCATGTTTGGCGTGCACAAAGATGCGGCAGTCCGCTTCCTCGTGAGAGCATTTATCCAGTCCATCAAGACCAGTTGCACGAGTGCTGAGGACAGCAGGTCCCTTTGTGACGATGACGGTATTTAGGGCAAACATTTGTGCAACCTTTTCGGCAAGGGTGGGACAACTCTGTTTTGTTGTCATTGTGCCTCAGGAAGTTATGCCAGTTAGATAGCATGGTGTTCTTATTTGTTACCTTGTGTCTTCCCCCCTGGCCACGTTTGGACCTGGTCTCAGCTTTAAGGCTTGATGGGTTTTACACATCAAAGACCAGATGTGTCATTGTGTACTTGCTGGAGTACATGTAGATCACAGGTAGGAAGTCGAGAGCTGCATAGTCCTCAAATGTCTTGGATCTTTTTGGTGGCAGGGCGTGGTCCAAAGCTGACCCATCTACAATGAGAACGTCTGCCTCAGGTTCCTTGTCAACTGGTTAGTTGGGTCACAAAGTGAGATTCTGTGACCATCCTCTGGCAAGGATGTTTTGACGATTGATTTGACCTCTATGGACCCTTTAGAAAAGATTTAGCCCCCAGGTCCCTCGCAAAAATCCCGGCATTTTTTGCTTGACAGCTAAATTCAAGATGGCGGCCGGCGCCATCTCTAAAAATTAACTTTTGATCTGGATGACCTAGAATCATGTATGAAGGCACTTTTCCATACAAGTCAACCATGAGGATTCCAAATCTGACATAGTTTTAATCATACAACTTTGTTTTGACCGCGATATTCAAGATGGCTGCCATCTAGTACTGTGATTCTCAACCTTTTCAGGACTTGACCCCCCCAAAACAATCATATTTGAACTGGGTAAACCCCAATTTGTTTGACTCTGTTCCACATATAGATATTGTGAAAGTAGCCGATCTACAAGCCTGTAACACATGGGGCTCTATTTCGTGCCTCGCCGGAGACATGCCGCAGGCGCGGCATAAGTCAGGTCCGCCGCGCCGACAAGGCGTTCCCAAGCACAGTTTGGTATTTTGGTGAGCAGCGCAGCCCGGCGTAAGTATCCCCCCTCCCTAACTCAGCTCCTCCCAGCGGCGTAAGTCGTAGCGAGGGAGGAGAGAGGGCGTGGAGTGGGTTTAACACAGCCGAGACCTGTTTTCACCAATCACATAGGCTCTTCTCCTTGCCTTTAAATCCGCCATCAGTGAGGCGTATTACTGTTTCCGTGGAGTAGTCAGAGAGATCAAGAGATGTCTGAAGACAGTAATGCCAGAAGGCAGCTCCTCAACAAGTGTCACTGTAAGCGCTGCATTTGGCGTCCTCCACACTCTCTCATATGAGCACAGATGGATTTGGTGTGTGTAATGTTGGACCCACAGGTAAAACAAACACCCTTTTCCACAAATAAAGACACTCACATAAAGTTGCATATATTCAAACCTCACGTGACAAAGGTGGGTTGAGCGCACAGATCACAACATAAACTCCAAAAATGGCATTAAAATCGGAACCATCTGTGTGTAAATGATGCATCGCGCTCCGTGGCCTGGCTCTTTCTTTCATAGATGTTGGCATATAAAATAAATTTGCCTCACAAAACTGAATATTATAATATTCGTATGTAGGCTTAAAGTAAATAACTCATCTGATCACTGAAACAAATCATCTGTTCAGCAGCAGCAGGACAGAGAGAGGACACGGAGACGTGTCCAGGTCGAGTTGCGCAAGAAATACGTGTGCCAAACGCGCTCATCAGATCAGATATAGATCAGAATATATCTATATAGATCTAAATGTATGTGCTGACTCAGATTAGTAGTTGTTGATGATTATTTATTGCACTGAAATTTACCTGAAACTGTGGAAACCTGCTGGTGAGGCATCGGTGACGTATGCCGATATGCTGTCGGTCTACCAAAATACTAGTAGACCAGCTGCACTCCGCCTGCGCTGAAAGCTGACCAGGTTTGAATCGGCGAGCTTTCAGTGCACTTACATGCCATTGGCGAGCACGAAAATGTCACTGCGCCCGCTGATTCTGTCGACACCTCCCCCTGCCACGCCACCACTCCCAGCTTGGCAGATCTCGGTTCGCCTCCATGTGCCTCAGTCCATGAAAATACCAAACTGGCTGTACGCCGGTTCGTCGGGCTCCGCCGGACGAAAATACAACTGCGCGAGGTCCGCCACCCTCCACCCTCCTGTCCCTTCATGTCAGGGCATGTTAGCACATGCTGCTTGTTTAGTGCTGCTGCTTTCCTAAATGTTGCCTCAGTCATTCTTTTGAGCCCACAGTTAGAGGAGCTACACATTTGATCTGTAAAGACAGTGTGCATGCAGCATACATGGCTGCTTGAATATGGAAGAAAATAATATACCAACAAGAACAGACAGACTGTCATGTATTCTCCAGTGTGGTAGTCTGTGTAATGAAGCCACATATACCATTAAGTCGACCCAAAGATGATCCCTGACATGAAGGGACAGCCAATCAAATTGCCTGAGTTAAGTACTGCTGCTGACATGAATCAAGCATACTGGATAGTTTGAGTGCAATATCACTGGCCTTTATGTTGTTGTTAAGTTAAGTTTTCTCTGTACTTGATCATTGGTTGGTGGCGTACCCCCAGATGACAGTTTAATGATAATGTTAGGACTTGTAAGATCCTCAAAGAAAAAGATCCTCACTGCATCCAAAGTAATCAACAAACAATGCTAAACCATTGGCCAAATTGTCAAATAATATAAGAAAAAGAAAATAGACGATCTGCAAGCTCACACGCCTCACAATACAAGGTGTTACAGGCTTGTAGATCGGCTATTTTCACAATATTTATATGTGGAACAGACTCAAACAAATTGGGGGTTACCCAGTTCAAATATGATTGTTTTGGGGGGTCAAGTCCTGAAAAGGTTGAGAATTACAGTACTAGATGGCAGCCATCTTGAATATCGCGGTCAAAACAAAGTTGTATGATTAAAACTATGTCAGATTTGGAATCCTCATGGTTGACTTGTATGGAAAAGTGCCTTCATACATGATTCTAGGTCATCCAGATCAAAAGTTAATTTTTAGAGATGGCGCCGGCCGCCATCTTGAATTTGGCTGTCTAGCAAAAAATGCCAGGATTTTTGCGAGGGACCTGGGGGCCAAATCTTTTCTAAAGGGTCCATAGAGGTCAAATCAATCGTCAAAACATCCTTGCCAGAGGATGGTCACAGAGTCTCACTTTGTGACCCAACTAGGTGGGACATAATTCTCAAGGATAGGGGTCAGCTGAGACTTCTGGCAAGTGTACAATTTTCCACCCTTGCTCAATGCAACAGGGAAGGACTGGTTCTCATGCTGAAAGAACCCCTGGAGGTCATGCTGAGTTACACAGCAGTGATATCACCAGTGTGCCCTGGTTGTGTGCCGATATTCACTCTATTACATCTGCAAGCTTGTACTGTATAAACATCTAAATTCTGTACTGCAATGGCCCCATTGGATGCATAGACCAAAAATATGTGCATGCCAAAAGTTAATGTTTCATAGTCACTAAGATCGGATTACTTCAAGGCAATGGCAGCCACCTTGGACACCATCTTGTTTTTCAAATTTAATGTTATAACCTTCATGAAAATAACAGATAATGGAAATGATATTTTCATGCAACCATATGCACGTAACAACAATCGGTGTTACAAATTTCTCACTCTCCCAATTCTGTACAAGTATCCATATGCTGTATCTCAAGAACCGTAATGGATACAGAAATGTACTGGCTACCAAAATGTCCGCAATACCGAACTTTATATTCAACTTCAATATATGTATGGGGCTTAAAATCAAGTCATTTTGAGTTATAAAGGAAAAACCGCATTTTTGGGGCGGACAGCTTGGATTTTGGGGCCGCCATCTTGGAATTTTGCGTGGCTAACGTTATTTTTGAAAAGAGTGGGGTTTGAAGAGTATATGTACCAAATTTCATGCTTGTATAACAAAGTGAACGATTCGGGCTATATTATGCATTTGTCTGCTCCACTACTTAAAAAGATCTCTCCTGCACCAGAAAAGGTTTAAGATGTTGATGTAGTAAACACCATGAGCAATGCAGGCTGATGACAGCCAGGTGTGTGGTGCCAGCAGCCGACTGAAACACCCACAGCAGCAGCCACAGGAGGGGATGGGGCCGGATATATGGATGTGGTTTATGTACCTCTGCAGTGTTGTGATTAAGTGGACAAAGTTAGCTTTCAGGAGCTCAGACTGCTGTCTACAGATGTCATTTGTACCTATGTGGATTATGACTGTCATGATTCCTGGTCTCGTCAAGATGACTTCAGTGACTTTACTGGTAATGTTACAGACTGTAGCTCCAGGAAAACAACAGTTAATCAGACATTCTGGATAATGGAGTCCCCTAGCACCGGAGTGGTAGGCTGAAGCTGTGGCTCACTTGACAGCAGAGATGGGAATTGTGGAGTCACCAAGTCATCTCCATGCCATGTATTTGTTCTGTTCTGTCACTGAACCAGCTGCTTCCAGTGAGCAGCCAGGAAGGTGAGCTCATTAGTGAAGGCACCTGGTTCAGTAACTGAGCAGAACAAATACATGGCATGGAGATGACTCGGTGACTCCACAATTCACATCTCTGCTTGACAGCATGGGGCTCCTTCTCCTTGATGAGGTAGGCTGTGGTGGTGCACAGTGTCTACCTGCTCCTAACTTCAGGGCAGAGGCTCTGACTGGACCCAAGGACAGAAGCTTCAGTGATGCCGGGACAGGATCTGCAGGAGGTTCCAGGTTGTTGAATGGGTTTTTGTTCATCTTTCTTGTTCTTCGCACCTGTTCCCCCGCCGGATGTCCCTCAGGGACGAGTAGAAACAGATGAAGGAGTTTGGGAGTTGTTCTGACCAGGCTTCTTACCCCGAATGACTGTCAAAGGTTCCATGGAGGCAGGTGTGGAACAGTTCTGAACTTAAGGTTTCGCACTAAGCCAAGGCCAATCCTGGTCATTTTCCTAGATAGACTGTATGATGGGGTGCACCGAGTCAGGGATGAGAGAAGGGCCATGCCAGGGCAGATTGGTGTTGTTGTCATGGAGGCAGGAGGCCTCCATGGCAAGAGAGTCTATTTGATGTTCAGAGTCTTGGATTTGGAAAAGGATGGAATCTGACCCTTGGTTCAGTTATTTTCTGGCATAGCCAAATGCATCCAAAGTAAGTGGAAGCATTTTTTCTGACTTGTTACTGGTTGTCAAAGTAAACAAATTTCTGTCCTGTGCGGTAGATTTATGTAGAATCTCCTAAAACCGCTACACAGATACATCACTTTTGGCGTCCAGACAGGTCAGACCTCAAAAAACAGTAGATAAAAACCTGTCCTGTCAGGATGGTCAACTTTTAAGTAAGAATTTGGTCAATATTTAAAATGTCTGCAGGAGAAAAAAACAGGTCAAGGTTTAAGTTGAAACACAGCGAGTAACAAAACCCAAAACAATCAAATCAAGAATCACACAGAGACAAATCTGTAAGACCAACAAGAAAGTATTTAACCAGCAAATCAAGGGCAGGATGATAAATGAGTGAACACACCAACACTCAGAGCTCTATGTCATGGCGCAGGCATGGCGTAAGTCAGGTCCACCGCGCCGACAAGGCATTCCCAAGCACAATTTGGTATTTTGGTGAGCGGTGCAGCCCGGCGCAAGTATCCCCCCTCCCTAACTGAGCTCCTCCCAGCGGCGTAAGTCGTAGGGAGGGAGGAGAGAGAGCGTGGAGCAGGTTTAACACAGCCGAGAGCTTTATTGACCAATAACATAAGCTCCTCTCCTCGCCTTTAAATCTGCCACCGCAGAAGCGTATTAAAATTTTTGTGAAGTAGTCAAAGAGATCAAGAGATGTCTGAAGACAGCAATGCCACACGACGGCAACAGAAGGCAGCTCCTCAACATGTGTCGCTGTAAGCGCTGCAGAGGGCGTCCTGCACACTGGCTGTGTCCGAAATGGCATACTGCCTACTATCTACTTACCTACTCAAGCAGTAGCTACTGCCTACTGACTACTCAAAGATGATATGAGTATGCCGCGGCTGCCCGAGCGTTTACACACATACATACTAAATACCCCAGAATGCATTTCGTGCCGGCCGGACGCAGCGCCGGGAAAATTTAAATAGTCCTACCACAAGCAACACAGAACGACTGCATTCCGGACAAATTATATAAATTCATTCAATAATAATATTTTTTCTAGAGAGAAAGTAAGTGTTTACATCACGATTATGAGCCCAGTTGTTTGAAATAGTGGCTGTTTGTAAATTTGTCTCGGCGTTTTCGGAGACCGAAGCGTCCACTTGGTCGGTGTTTGCGTCTATTTACCGTAAACACCGGGCAGCAGCAGCTCCCCCTTCACGTTTCCAAATTATTGCGAAGTTTTTTCATAATCAACATCTACACGACACAAACCGGGCGACAGTGGATGAAAAAAATCACACAAACATCCGTGTATCCATGGTGATAATGCTATACACCACCTGCTAGGCGTGTGATGAGCAGCAGAGGGCTGCAAAATGACCAACACACAACATAATTATTATGAACTCGTTCGGTCATTCCTTGGCAAATACATCATTTCCCGACTACATTCTTTTCATGTACAATGATTATTTCAGAAACCATCAGATTTTCAATCACAAGTAAGAATTAGTAAAGCTCACATACATTGTCAACTGGAAACTCCCCCGTTTGTATATTCTGAACCATGTGCTCTCTACCAATAATAATTTTTATTAATCAGAGGTCTGAGCTTAATATGAGCGACCACTTTGATGATGCATTCAGAGATGAGAAGATGCTCAAACTTGATGTAATAAATACATCTTTAATAGACACTTAAATAAATAAAGTCAATTCATACGAGTAGTTAAAAACATTACTTATAATCCTAATTTAAAATACAAATAAATCTGGTAAAAAGATCAAAATATGATAAAATGATGAAAATTGTGTAATGTATACTGACTAAATATTGTTTATCTATTTATATATATATCATTATTATTGCAATCACATGCCATCTATTTCTTTTCAGCCTCGGGAAGGAGGGCCATATTACCAGCTGAGGTGCGCAATGCATTGTGGGGCAGAAGCAGTACGTGAAGCAAGCTCCGTTGCACACTCAGAAATCGAAGCTGATTGAGTATACATCCGGGCATTTCTCGCATACACAAAATTCGCATACTGTACAATGTGAACGCACTGCCTACTCAATTCAGAGGCGGGGTTAGTAGGAGTAGTAGGAGTAGTAGGCCATTTCGGACACAGCCACTGTCTCATATAAGCACAGAGGGATTAAGTGTGTGAAAGGTTGTACCCACTGGTAAGACAAACATCCTTTTCCACAAATAAAGACACTCACATAAAGTAACACATATTTAAACCTCACTTGACAAAGGTGGGTTGTGCGCACATATCACAACATAAATACCAATAATGGCATTAAAATCGGAACCATCTGTGCGAAAATGACGCATCGCGCTCCGTGGCCTGGCTCTTTCTTTCATAGATGTTGGCATATAAAATAAATTTGGCTCACAAAACTGAATATTATGATATTTGTATGTAGGCTTAAATTAAATAACTAACTAGGAGTTAGTTTGGTCAGGTTGAGTGTCCAAACGTGTGCCAAATGCGCTCATCAGATCAGATCAGAATATATCATGGACTCTAAATGTATGTGCTGACTCAGATTATTAGTTGTTGTTGATTGTTTATTGCACTGAAATGTGCCTGACACTGGTGCCGGTGAGGCATCAGTGACGTATGCCGATACGCCACCACGCCCAGCTTGGTGGACCTTGGTGCGCCCCAGTCCACAAAAAAAAACAAACTGGCTGTATGCCGGGCTCCGCCAGACGAAAATACCACTGCGCAGGGTCTGCCACCCTCCGCCGCGCCGTTGGCGGACACGATAATAGAGCCCTCAGACTTCAGCCTCTCAGGCAGATCTGGCAACCTGAGGGGAGGAATGACTCACTGACTAAATGTGCTGTCAGTGGGCTCACCTGGAAAATCACCTTTCCATCTGCTGGTTTTAGAACATGAGTGATATATGGTGAGAGGATGTCTAAACCAGAGGTGGTCCAGGTATCTGTAGGATCTCGGGGAGCCTCCCTGGAGGTTTTCTGGGGCCATGAGGTAGACCCATAGCTCTGTTGAGGGATTAAATATCTGATCTGATCTTGGAATATCTCAGACTCACTGAAGACCCGCTTGGAAATGTTGCTGGCTGACCTGCTGCCAACGTGCCAAAGGGAATAAAATGGGTGGGTGGACAAAACTTGTTCATTCATTCCACTTGGTGTAGACTTAAGAGATTATTTTCAGAGATATTACAAAGGCAGTTCACAAAACATGCATAGAGTAAAGACAAGAGACTGGTTAGAGTCCACAAAAATTATCAAATGAGAAAAAAATAATCACATGGAAGTGAAAGAAAAGACAAATAGTAAAGGGGGAAAAAGACTGTAATTATCAAACAGATCATCCATGTAGATTCTCATTCATCCAGGTCATGGTTGACTCCATAATCAGGCAACTGGACTGTGTAGAGTTGAGAAGACGTTTCGCCTCTTATCCAAGAAGCTTCTTCAGTTCTCATTATTGGTAGTGTGAGGAGCAGATATTTATCTTACTGGAGAAGGGGACAGACAACAGCTGGGAGGGGTTGGGTCGTAGAAACCCATCTTCGGGTGTGCCCCCCCCCCCCCCAATCGTTAACCTAAAAGGGTCGTTAATGACCCCTGTCATGTGACCACGAAACCTGGGTCATGTGGTCCCTGGGGTGAGTGTTTGTGGAGCTTCCTGGGGAGAGAGCTGAGAACTGCATTGTAAGTGCCAGAGAGATTGTGCCTGAGTCCACCCCCTCTGTTCAGAGAAGGTTTCTCCAGCCTGGTAAAGATGGCTTCTTTAACTCCTCTTTCAAACCATCTGTCTTCTCTAGCCAGCACCTGTATATTGCTGTCCTCGAAAGAGTGACCCATGTCCTTCAAGTGAAGGTGGACAGCTGAGTCCTGACCTGAGGAAGTGGCTCTCCTGTGATGAGCCATGCGCTTGTGAAGCGGTTGTTTAGTTTCCCCAATGTACAGGTCCGAGCATTCCTCGCTGCACTAGACAGCATACATCACATTACTCTGTTTATGTCTCGGTGTTTTGTCCTTGGGATGGACTAGCCTCTGCAATTAGTGTGTTGCCAGGCTTGAAATGAACAGGAATATGGTGTTTGCCAAAGATCCTCTTGAGTTTTTCCGACAGGCCTGCAACGTAAGGGATTACAGTGCTCTTGCGTCTCTCCTCCCTTTCGTGTTCAGTGTTATTATTCTTTTTGTTCTTCACAAAGGCCCACTTAGGGTATCCACAGGTTGTCAGGGCATTTTTGATGTGCTTCTGTTCCTTTCCTCACCTTCTTTCTTCGTGGGAATGTTCTCACCCCGGTGGTTGAGTGTTCTGATGACACCCAGTTTGTGTTGTAGAGGATGGTGGGAATCAAAAAATAGATATTGATCTGTGTGTGTGGGTTTCCTGTAAACTTCAACGTTGAGACACCCGTCTGCCTTCAAGTGTACAGCACAGTCCAAAAAGGCCAACACATCGTCCTTAACATCTTCACGGAATTTGATGTTGCTGTCCACTGTGTTGATATGGTCAGTAAAGGCCTCTACTTCTTCAGGTGTCATCTGCATATAGACTGTTTGACAGTTTGAGAGCATGGAGACAACATCCTTTATGTAGATGGTAAAAAAAAGACCCAGGAGCCCTGTGGAACACCCTTAAAAAGGTTACCTAGTATAACTGGTTATTGTCTCTCTGAATGATAATTTCCAAACCCACACCAAGCATCCTTTAACTCTTATTTTACTGGCCAAGAACTTGTTTAAGACAAAATACCCCCTGTGATTGATGAGATTTACTATCAGTCTGTGATTCTCCACTCATATCAATAAGTATCTTCAAGAGAGTCTCTGGTTTGGTTTATCCGAATGTTGGAGCTTCTTACTGAGTTGGTTTATTGGTGTAAAAACTGGATCTGTGTCTTCTGAAGACAGTCGTCTTGGTGGAAAGAGAGAAAATTGTATTAGCTGTCTCTCAGGATGATCACAGACCTTTAATACAGATGACTCTCTGAAGACCAAAAGAGGAAAAGAAGTGCTGCCAGCTCCTGAAAACATCATCTTACCTCTCCATAAAGGAGAAACGGTCTGACATCCTTTCAGCCTTTTTTCAGACACTCAATCATGGACGCTTAGCACAGCAAGGTGTGCAGGGACTCAAAGAATCAGGCTTTTTTAACTTCTTTTTGGCTCCTCTCTTTATGCCAACTCTAATGTTGGTTATCTGCATCTGTAACCTAAACTGATTCTGATAGTTACAAAACATTTAAAACCTTTATTTGAGAGGAACCCAAAGACCTCTCTGATGGTCTGATGGATCACAACCTGACATTCTTTTTGGAAATCATGGACAAACAATAAATTGATTTGGATTGCTTTAGGTAACCTTTAAATCATCATGAACCAGGAACCCTGCTTTAGAGGACCTTGAAATGTGGACCTAGTGTTGACCTTTAATATAGATGTATTAATGTTAGATTGGTATTTCTGGGGTCCAGCATTATCAGAGTATCTTAGTACAGTGGTGAGATGTTGCAAAATAATTTGAATCAAAGGCAAAAAACTGAAGACCCACCCCCCCACCCCCAATTGGCGACGAGTGTTTTGACCCAGTTGCTGCTTTGCCCCCATTGAAATGTGGACACTGATCTGACTTATTGTATGTAAGCACATGCCAACAACTCCGGTTTAAACACTCTCCAGATAAGAAGGTGTCATAAACTGGAGTGAATTTCACAACTCCTGACGTTCCTGCAAACTTCAGACCAATTAAAAAGTGAATAATCAGGACATGCTGCAGAGGAGCTCAGAATGATCTCTGCTTTTTTACTATTTAAAAACCCTGTTTATCTGGCCAGTAAAATTGCATTCATATTAGTTTAATGAGCATTGCTGCCTCTGCATACACATGAGCTTTCTAATTGGCAGGATGACCTGAAAAACACACCTGTAGGGCACCAGGGGTCACAGTCAAGAGAGACCGGAGCCAGTTGGACAACCACTTCCTGCTGGAGACGTCAGCGGCGGGTTGGTGACCTCCGCTGTGACCTCTCCGCAAAGAGCAGAGATAATAATTGAAGGTGACAGAGGCAGAGGAGCCGGCTGGAATTAACTTTGAAGGTGAATCTGAGCTCCTGAGCTGTAAATTAGCCCCATGTGTCCACAGCAGGAAGGAGAAGATTGCTGCAGCTGGCAAGAATACTTTTATTGGCCAATCAGAGAAGAGCTTTTTTATGTTTAAGTGTTAACCCTTAAAATGAGTACCAGCAGCAGCAAAGAGGTCAGTTAAGGAAGCATGATCATACCTTGATGATAAATAGTTTAAAATCTGTCAATGTCAATGAGACAAAAATCAGCTGATGCTGAGGTCTGAGGTGGCATGCTATTTACTGTAAGAGTCAGCACTTTCCAGGTATGAACCTTAACTTACTCCCTCGGCAGCTCAGAATGCAACAGCTTAGCTTCTCAATTGGCTTAAACAGATGGTATCACATCACCCTGGTCTCAGCCCCTGTGAGCATGTCTGGATTGACTGAGTTAAATTTTAGAACTGCTGACCCCTTCTGAGCCTTGGATTTTCTTGTAGGAACCTCCAGGTCCTTCCAAATTTGAGGCTTAAAGGTAAAGGAATTCCTGAGTTGGTGCTTTTTCTGTTCGAGACCCTGGACTTGGGAACAATCTGTGATTACTATGTTGTGTTTTCAGTGGGTCTGGGTTTTTCAGTTTTTACTCTGTTGTGCTTTTGCTTTTCTGTCAAGGTAGTTTATGAACCTTTGTTTTTTAAAGTTCTCGATGAAACAAAATTATAAAACACTGTGATTCTCTGGTTTGATCCTTGATGTGTCCTGTATTTATTCTTAAAAAAACCCAACTGTGTTTCTGATATCGTGCAGCCCTGATATTTGGTGTGTAGCAATCAAGACAACCCTGGGTGTGAAACCCACACATTCCTCAGAGGAAAGTTTCCTTATCTGGTCCCAGGAAACAGGATATAAATCTTTCCAGACTCGTTTACACTTTCAGGTTAAATAAGTGACCCAACCGGAGGTTGACTAAACCTCTGACTCTTCACGATTGGTCGATTCGGAGAACAGAGACAGAGTTTTTATTACCTTTCAAACTGACTCCATCGCTGACCATCTAAATAAACATTAACCTCAACCCAGATCTCCCATTTGAGATTTAGCGTCTTAAAGTGTGTGAACATACGGACCCCAGGATAAGGGGGGACACTGACCTCCAGACCTCGGTCGTAAAACCCTGCTCGACCATGCACTGATAAAGACTACATTCCGTTGGTGAAAGAATACAAATGACTGATCATGACATCTTATGCATTCAGCAATGTACTAATCTGTCTAATCATGAAATTTGTGTTAAAATGAGATGTTTCCCGTTTTTCTATGTGCTCCAGAAGCCGAGTTATCGCTCTTTAGTTTCTTTAGACCAACAGCTTTTCAGACTGTTTCATGAACTTTTAAGAGTTAAATTTATCGACCATGAATCATAACTTAACTCTAGGTAACAGAAACAGTTTAGAAATGTTTGGTTTATATTGTAGTTGTTTATTTAGTATTTTTAACCATTAGGTGGTTATAATGTCATTGAATAACCTTAATGTGAGTATTTAGAATCCATTATTAATCATGATGAAGTTCATTCACATGTGTTTACTCTTTTGTTGTTCACAGTTTCCATGTGTTACTATCTGTTTCATTTCAGAGTAATTTAGCATGTTCAATGTGATACTTAAAACATAATGAGAATGTTTGATGTGATCCTACACTTCATTCATATGTGTTTAGTATCAAATTATTTATCATGAAACCAAGCATTCAATGATATTAATCATAGTGAGTGAGTATCAGATCTGACTCTTTTACCAGCCAAAAGAATAAGTTAGATCAAATAATCAGAGATTCCACGACCCCTCCTCTGTCTCACACACACACGCCAGAGACACTCCCAGTGTGAGAAGATAAAACCAGTGAAGTGGGGTTGCTCACTCTCTTCTGCTGACCTTCTTGTTCACTCTTATTCCCTTCTACTCTTATGCCCCGTACTCTTGGGCCCTTCTCTTCTGCCCACACCCTTCTGTGGTGCGTTTCTTTGTTTTCTCTTAGAACTTTTTCTTAGTCTACTAAGTTTTACGCCACGTGTTGATTCACGTTGATTTTTCTTTAACATCGTCTTAGTTCAAGTTTTGAAACTTCAACTTTTTGTGCGCATAGCAATTCAAGATTAAGCCTTTGATTGATTTTTCTTTAATTTCGTGAAGCCATTTTTGAAAGTTTTCTCTGCTCGAGTCTCGTTTTTCTGAGTTATCTGCGTGATTTTCAAAGTCACCTCTGAACGCAACCCAGCAGGCCCAGGTCATCCTCTGTGCCAGAGTTTTTGAGTGAGACCAAAGAAGTACCCAAACGAGCATCCACAGGATCCACAGGCGCTGGCTTTGCTTCGGGCCCGAGTGCTGCAACTCCTGGCTCATCCTTCGGCTGACTTCAGTCGTCTTCTGAGCTGAACCGCTCGAACCGCCAGTAGCCCGGACCTTCGGAACCTGCTCCATCTTCTCCAAGGACCAGTCTCACTTAAGTATGCAAACCTCCAGAGCTCTAAAGAGGGCTGGTGCTGTCTCCTGCGTTCAACTCAGATATCCTCTTATTCTGGTAATCTTAGATTCCTCCAAATCCACATCCGAGTTTATCTCGACACCAAAGTAGTGTAGGTTAATATGTTAGCGCATATTCACTCACTATCATTAACTTTAGTGCTCCTAGCCTGACTCAGAATCTTTATTTATTCACCTATTATTATTTTATCCTCATTATCTTATCATCATTTATTGCATGTGTGTTGTACCATCATTTATCCTGTAATAAACAGATCATTATTTTTCTAAGTTCCTGTCTGTTAGTGTTCTTCCAGAAGTGGAGTCCCTGAAATTAGAATTTCGACTTAAGATATGAGACTGATTAATTAAAACTGACTTGATGTTTGATTTCTGAATTAAACTTTTGTTTTCTTTATTTTCCCACCATTAAGGGTGGGTGGTGCCCCTTTCAACGAGTGCATAAATGTCATAATTTGAGATTATTAATCTTCAGACATATATTATAAATTCCAATCGCTACAGTATTATTTTGGTGTGGCCTTGTGAGGCTCATTTCAAATCGCTACATATATTTTGGTGCGACCGTGTGAGGCTCATTTTAAATTGCTACAGGTGTCCACATCAGTGAAGTGAAATGTTTTCTGATGATGTTTTTGTGCACAGGAAACATTCAGAGCAGCAGCAAAGACATATTAACCGTCAGTGAAATACACTGTTGGGCCCAGAAACTCACTAACCATGAGTGAAGACAGTTTTTTCTTTTTCCTACCTATTCTTTGAAAAATGGCCAAAAATCACAAATTCTGCCGGGGCATGAGGCTGATTCCCCATGGTCCCGGAAGTCGCTCCGCTCACAAAATGACGTCACGCTTATCAACAGAGGGTGCTGTTCTTGGAGTGGCTTCACCCAGCAAGGAGGCAGACTCTGTCCGTTCTTTATACAGTCTATGGTCAGTGCTCACTGAGTGGCTCTCAGGAGCGTCATTGACCTAAAGCTTTGCAGGAGTGTTGGCCACACAGGATGGAGAACAGGAAGTGAAGTGATCACTCCTCCTCCTGCTTTTCAGGTCCAGACTCTTCCATTATTTCAACCAGACAGCCTTCAGACCATCACACACGCTCCTCCTCCATAAGCTGCCCTGCAGAGGTGAGGCGGACAAGTGAAGTGGTAAATGTGTTCATTTGTAGGCGGCTCCCCTTGCATCGACTTTCTGAGGCCAGCTGATAGATGTTTGAGCCAGCAAGCTCAGCGGGAAGAGTGATTTAACCAAAGGGCATCTGTCAACCCCAAAAATGGGTTCACGCATTTCCAGCCACAGCTGATGAATCTTTGAATAAGAAACGTTTTGTTGAGGAACAAGTTTGAGTCTGTGCTGGTAGGAAACTTTTTAAAACTCAGACAATGTTTGACGGCTGTGGTAATGGTATGCAATGGTGCTAAAGCTTTGTTTCCTCTGTCGGATACTAGCATCAGCTTCGTAAAATCAGATAACCTCCTTTATATTTTTCATTCCATTTAATTATGTTCACTGTTGCTTGTCTCCTACGGAATAAGGATATTTTGGGTTTTTAAGGCCCTCCTTGAAAGAAAAAAAAAATTATATATATGGATATACATACATATATATATATATATATATATATATATATATATATATATATATTAAGAAGTTCCTGTGTGAGCTGAGATAAGGACATATATATATATATATATATATATATATATATATATATATATAATGTCCTTATCTCAGCTCACACAGGAACTTCTTTCCTCCTGAATAATGCCATTAACACATAGTCGGCTCTTTCTGTAAGCCACAGAGGGCAGCATGTTACTTCTGATTCTCTGTCTGCATTATTGATAAAGTGAAATGATGGGAGCTGGGGTTCTGGCTGTCACACAGCAGATGGAGTCATAATGCAGGCTGAGGCAGCAGAAATGGACCTGTCAGAGTCCTGATGAGCAGACTGTTCGCTCACACAGAGGAGGAGTGAGTCAGGATGCTGTGGCTCAGATCAAATCTAGACCCTGCATGTGCTGCTGTATATTGAGATGTCAATCATGTTGTCTGCTGCAGCTCCAACATTACCACATCATTTTCCTGCTGTCCCGCCCGTTTATTACCTCAGGATTTCAAATGTCACCAACAGCTTCTTTTCTTATGACTGCTCTGTCAATCCTCAGCTTTTCTAATCACATTTATACACCATTGATCCACCCATGCACTGCAGCAGACACAATGCACCCAGACTCTCCAAACATTCGATCTGTGGAGGCTTTGATAAATCATTATTGTGAAGCCGTCTTGTCAGACTGAGAGGACAGAGCTTCAGCAGGAAGATGAAGGACACTCTTAGGAATAAATGTTCAAACTTCTCTTATAATGTTTAACTTTGAAAACTGAAGTGTGTCTCAGCTGCAGAGTGCTGCAGCCCCACTGAGTTGGATTCCTCGGACTGGTTGGCCCTGTTTACAACCTCCATCCTGACATCATGACGCTTCCTGTCTGTGAAATGATGCTTTGCTCCACTCTAAGCAGACCAGTTTAGTGCCACACACACTGTTTTCTTTATTAGGTGCTCATGTGCAACTGCTTGTCAATGCAAAGGTACAATCAGATAATCACATGGGAGTAACTCAATGCATTCAGGTGCATAGATCTGGTCAAGTTCAAACCCAGCCTCAGAATGCAGGTAAGGTGATCTAGGTGACTTATGTCACTTTCACAACAGAGCTGTTTGGTCCGCTTTAAACAGACCAGAGTTCGTTTCCTCGGATAGTCTGCTTCGTTTGGGCAGGTGTGAAAGCTCATCCGAGCTCTGGTACGGACCAAACAAGCGAACTCTGGTCTGCCTGAAAACGTGGGTCTCGGTTCGCTTGTAAGTGAACCCTTGTTTGGTTCGTATGCAGTGTGAAAGCTCACCCGACCAAACACAGGACCAAATGTACATAATGACGCTATACGCAGTGCATGTGCAGTGCATATTGGGTAGAGGAAGCACAGCGTCACTTGTTGCTATGGCAACAAGTGACAGCATATTTAAACAAAATCAAATCACAACTACCAACAGTCACAGTCCTTAAACTCTGAGCTCATATGTTGTCACATGTTAGATTGTCAAAGTTAGAAAAATAACAGGATCAATCCCTGACAAGCTATGATAGCATTATAGGAAAAGTTGCGTTCACTAAAGTTGTAGCATTCCATAAAATAATGTGATGAAGTGCAATACAAGACGGCTAGTCCACCCCTGTTTGTAATCCGTTAGGCTACATACCCCTCCTACTTTGTCCAATCAACGAGCAACCCTTTCAACCACGTGATGCTGCTTGGAAAGTTTGGTGCACTTTAGAAATCACAGTGTGAAAGCAGAACCAAGTGATAAATGCAACAATGTTGCAACTTTCAGGTTCCCAATCGTACCGAGTCCGATTGGTCAGGTGTGAAAGTGACCTTAGAGGCAGCCTGTTCTGGATCTCAAAGCACTAACTGCAGTCCCTTCTGTCTCTGGAAGTATTTACTGATCCCCCATGGTAAAGCCTATACAGAGGAGAGAAGAGGGAAATCAGAAAAGCTAAAAGAAAGAAAACATGAGAGTAGCCTAAACAATGAGGACCTTAAAACAGTCAGTGATGGATTCTTATAAGTATTATTGAGAAAACCAAGACTTCCTTTCTATCCACCTGGACAGATCATGGTATGAGGTTAATAAACTTATTGGAGTGACGGATGACATGTCACCAAAACCCCTAGTTTGAAAAAATAAACTCATACCAACGTTCTCAGATAACATTTTTAAGACCTTGCATGATAAAGGGATTATGTTGTGGTGCACCTTGCACATTTTATTTTGGTTTGGGATCCTGTTTCCTGTGTGGGATGTGGTGCTTCTCACTTCGCCTTTTCCAGAGGCTGCTCTCTTCCCCCACCTGAGGCGCTGAGGCTGAGTAGACTCACCTGTATTAATTCTGCAATCAAGCCAGTTTTAAGACTGCTGCAGTCACAAGCCCCAGTGCCAGATTACTATCAACTTCACACCAGTGGCGGCTGCTGGTCTTTCAAGGAGGGGAAGCTCATTTTTCTGGCCTACATCATAATTGTATTTGTTTATTAGTATGTAACAGAACAGAGTCGCCAAACACAACGGCAGTCGTTTTTAACAAAGACAAAAGTCGCTGAGGATCGGTAAAGTCTGTGGAGCAGTTAAGAACAACGGAATGAATGACTTGGAAAATGCCCTGGTAGATGTTTTATTCTTCAAGATCGCTGATTCGCTTGTTTAGCTGTCAATCAAAAAAGAATTTCGCCTCAGACAGCTCATCCAATCATGAATGCAGAAGCTTGGAGTCCGGGAGAAAGTCGGGACCGCCCTCTCGCCACAGAACTCCAGTGAAGCTGGGCTTCCATTGGGCGGGACAAAGCCCAGCATTTATCCAATGAGCGTCTAGTTTCGCTGCTGGAACAACCCACTTTAAGCTTCCACATTGAAGTCAGCAGAAGCCCAGCGTCCGGCTGTGTGAAGCACTGAGGCGCTGCGAGGATGAATGAGAACGAAGTTATGCCGGTTACCTGTGATTATCAGCATCTTATCACAGTGTCTGAACAAAAGTTGAAGGCTTTCTAGTGCGTATTTAGTTAATGAAATGTACACACAGCAGCACGTATTTCACCACTTTTTCTCTTTTTTGGGGGGGTGACATTTTAAGGGAAGCCGAGCTTCCCTTGCAGTCTTAGAGCAATCGCCACTGCTTCACACAGTGGTACAACTGCCCTCTCAAGAACTCTAGTGATTCTAGGGAAACTTTTATTAGGGCCCGAGCGTAGCTGCTAAGCAGCTGCGAGAGCCCTCTTGTTCCTGATGGATTCTTCTTTTGTTAGGGCCCGAGCGTAGCTGCTAAGCAGCTGCGAGAGCCCTCTTGTTCCTGATGGATTCTTCTTTTGTTATTAGGGCCCGAGCGTAGCTGCTAAGCAGCTGCGAGAGCCCTATTATTCCCCAAGTGGTTTTTCTTTGTTTCTTTCTTTCTTCTTTTTCCTCCCCTTTGAACTGGAAAATGGCCCACTTCCCACTGGCGAAAACTCATGAAATTTGGCAGGATGACCGGGCCTGGTGAAAAATTTGATATTCCGAAGTCGACCAAACAAGAAAATGCAAAATGGCTCCATAGCGCCCCCTAAGGTGAAAATTCACACTATTGACTGTCACGCCTGTACGCTTTGTCAAAATGACACAAAAATTGACACACATATGTATCTCAATAAGATCTACAAAAAAGTCAGTGCGGGCGTATCTGTCAAATGTACGGTTAAAGGGTTATTCCGCATTTTTTGCCGATCCGCACACATTGGAATTTCGCTAACTCCTCCGAAGGCTTTCTTTCCACCGGCACCACATTTGCTCAGGCCAATCTACACCCCATGGCCATTAAAAGTTATTCAAATCATGACGCTGCACCCCACGGTTTAGGTTCTAGGGGGCGCCAAAGATAACCCTAAAATCCACATATTTAAAAGTCTTATAACTTTTTATTTTTGCCCTCACTGGCCTCCAAGTTCTATAGGATGATGCAATGTCCAGCCATCAACACATTTGTGAAGGAATTTTTACTCCCCAAAAGAGCGCCCCCCCATGGCCGGAGAAAAAAGTCCATTTTTTCTTTTCCCCTAAGGTGAAAATACACATTGTTGAGTGTCACGCCTGTACGCTTTGTCATATTGACACAAAATTTGACACACACATGTATCTCAATAAGATCTACGAAAAAGTCAATGCGCGCGTATCTGTCAAATGTACGGTTAAAGGGTTATTCCGCATTTTTTGCTGATCCGCACACATTGGAATTTCGCTAACTCCTCCTAAGGCTGGTGTTCCACCGGCACCACATTTGCTCAGGCCAATCTACACCCCATGGCCATTAAAAGTTATTCAAATCATGACGCTGCACCCCACGGTTTAGGTTCTAGGGGGCGCCAAAGATAAACCTAAAATCCACATATTTCAAAGTCTTATAACTTTTATTTTTGTCCTCACTGGCCTCCAAGTTTTCTAGGATGATGCAATGTCCAGCCATCAACACATTTGTGAAGGAATTTTTACTCCCCAAAAGAGCGCCCCCCATGGCAGGAGAAAAAAGTCAATTTTTTCTTGTCCCGTAAGGTGAAAATTCACATTGTTGAGTGTGACACCTGTACGCTTTGTCATATTGACACAAAATTTGACAATCACGTGTATCTCAATAAGATCTACGAAAAAGTCAATACGTGCGTATCTGTCAAATGTACGGTTAGAGGGCTATTTTGCATTTTTTGCCGATTCGCACACATTGGAATGTGGCTAACTCCTCCTAAGGCTTTCGTCCCACTGAAACCAAATTTGCTCAGGCCAATCTACACCCCATGGCCATTCAAAGTTGTAAAAATCATGACGCTGCACCCCACGGTTTACGTTCTAGGGGGCGCCAAAGATGACCAAAAAATCCACATTCTTAAAAGAATCCACATTCTCCCCCCCCCATGGCAGGAGAAAAAGTCAAGTTTTTCCTGCCCATCGCTCAATGGCTCAATCGCATCGCTCTCCAGGCAACACCGTAACGAGGAGCAACCTGCCATTTGGATATATCCCAGCTGTGTTTGTGCCCTCACTCATGGTCCAGACTTTTTTCAAATAGGACATGAAGTTTGTCTGCAGCGAGTGTTTTGGTAGAAACTGCGCCTCCCATTCATTATAATGGGAAATGACCACAGACAAGTGCGCACACCATCTTTGGACCTTGAGTGTGACGCGATCGGGAGGGGGAGGCGGTCACGCTGTGGGCAGCACGACGCGGCTCGGGCCCGACAGTGCCCCACCGGGGCCCTAGTTATTATTATTTTTCCTCCGCTTTAAACTGGAAAATGGCCCACTTCCCACTGGCGAAAACTCATGAAATTTGGCAGGACGACCGGGCCTGGTGAAAAATTCGATATTCTGAAGTCGCCCAAACAAGAAAATGCAAAATGGCTCCATAGCGCCCCCTAAGGTGAAAATTCACACTATTGACTGTCACGCCTGTACGCTTTGTCATATTGACACAAAAATTGACACACACATGTATCTCAATAAGATCTACAAAAAAGTCAGTGCGGGCGTATCTGTCAAATGTACGGTTAAAGGGTTATTTTGCATTTTTTGCAGATCCGCACACATTGGAATTTCGCTAACTCCTCCGAAGGCTTTCGTTCCACCGGCACCACATTTGCTCAGGCCAATCTACACTCCATGGCCATTCAAAGTTGTACAAATCATAATGCTGCACCCCATGGTTTAGGTTCTAGGGGGCGCCAAAAATAACCCAAAAATCCACATTCTTAAAAGTTTTATAAATTTTTTTTTTTGTCCTCACTGGCCTCCAAGTTTTCTAGGATGATGCAATGTCCAGCCATCAACACATTTGTGAAGGAATTTTTACTCCCCAAAAGAGCGCCCCCCCATGGCAGGAATAAAAAGTCCATTTTTTCTTGTCCCCTAAGGTAAAAATACACATTGTTGAGTGTCACGCCTGTACGCTTTGTCGTATTGACAAAAAATTTGACACACACGTGTATCTCAATAAGATCTACGAAAAAGTCAATGGGCGCGTATCTGTAAAATGTACGGCTAAAGGGCTATTTTGCATTTTTTGCCGATTCGCACACATTGGAATGTGGCTAACTCCTCCTAAGGCTTTCGTCCCACTGACACCAAATTTGCTCAGGCCAATCTACACCCCATGGCCATTCAAAGTTGTAAAAATCATGCCGCTGCACCCCATGGTTTACGTTCTAGGGGGCGCCAAAGATGACCCAAATATCCACATTCTTAAAAGTCGTTTTGGCCACTGCAGGAGTACAGAGTACTGCAGGATACACACACACAGACACACACACACACAGACACACACACACACACACACACACACAGACACACACACACACACTCAGAGTCTGTTTTTTAGCACCTGCAAAAACATGCTATTTACATATTTGACAACAATGCAGAGGCTTCCTTTTGCCCCTGAAAAAAATCAAATTTCTAACACAACTTGACTGCTCATTTCTCCAAAAGACAACCATGAAGCTCCATCCAAACCTGAAGCAGGCAGTTGGTGCATGTGTACAGTAACCTGAGGGGAGTGAGGTGACTGCTTCTGAGGAGAACATGAGCAGTGAAGATTCACCTTGGAGCGAGAACAGGGACGTGCACATGATTATACGGGGGCAGGGGCTCAAGTTTTTTCCAGTCGTTTATACAATATGGAAATTAATGTGAAATTAAAAAACAAAGTATTAATAGAAAGGTAATGACTGTCCTGTGTAGGTGACAGTGATATCCAATAGGCTAGGCACTCACGAGGCTGGCTGTGGCAAGTGTAAGTGAAAGCAACACGCACTGGCAGGAAGAACAGCAAACGCCGATGAAGGAAAAGGGTCTTTGCAGTGATGGGTGTTACCAGAGAGGACGATGGCCAGAGGACGCGAATGGGACGGGGAGGCAGCGCGTTGGGGGGGGGGGGGGGGGGGCGACACAGCTCGGGCCCGCCAGTGCCCCAACGGGGCCCTAGTTATTATTATTATTTTTCCTCCGCTTTAAACTGGAAAATGGCCCACTTCCCACTGGCGAAAACTCATGAAATTTGGCAGGACGACCGGGCCTGGTGAAAAATTCGATATTCTGAAGCCGCCCAAACAAGAAAATGCAAAATGGCTCAATAGCGCCCCCAAAGGTGAAAATTCACACTATTGACTGTCACGTCTGTACGCTTTGTCATATTGACACAAAAATTGACACACACATGTATCTCAATAAGATCTACAAAAAAGTCAGTGCGGGCGTATCTGTCAAATGTACGGTTAAAGGGTAATTTCGCATTTTTTGCCGTTCCGCACACATTGGAATTTCGCTAACTCCTCCGAAGGCTTTCGTTCCACCAGCACTACATTTGCTCAGGCCAATCTACACCCCATGGCCATTGAAAGTTGTACAAATCATGACGCTGCACCCCACGGTTTACGTTCTAGGGGGCGCCAAAGATAACCCACAAATCCACATTCTTAAAAATCTTATAACTTTTTATTTTTGTCCTCATTGGCCTCCAAGTTTTCTAGGATGATGCAATGTCCAGCCATCAACACATTTGTGAAGGAATTTTTACTCCCCAAAACAGCGCCCCCCCCATGGCAGGAAAAAAAAGGCCATTTTTTCTTGTCCCCTAAGGTGAAAATACACATTGTTCAGTGTCACGCCTATACGCTTTGTCATATTGACACAAAATTTGACACACACGTGTATCTCAATAAGATCTACGAAAAAGTCAATGGGCACATATCTGTAAAATGTACGGTTAAAGGGCTATCTTGCATTTTTTGCCGATTCGCACACATTGGAATGTGGCTAACTCCTCCTAAGGCTTTCGTTCTACTGACACCAAATTTGCTCAGGCCAATCTACACCCCATGGCCATTCAAAGTTGTACAAATCATGACGCTGCACCCCACGGTTTAGGTTCTAGGGGGCGCCAAAGATGACCCAAATATCCACATTTTTAAAAGTCTTATAACTTTTTATTTTTGTCCTCACTGGCCTCCAAGTTTTCTAGGATGATGCAATGTGCAGCCATCAACACATCTGTGAAGGAATTTTTTCTCCCCAAAAGAGCGCCCCCCCCCCCCATGGCAGGAGAAAAAGTCAAGTTTTTCCAGCCCATCGCTTAATGGCTCAAACGCATTGCTCTCCCGCTAAAACCAAAAGGAGGAGCAACTTGCCATGTGGATATGTCCTAGCTGTGTTTGTGCCCTCACTCATGGTCCAGAGTTTTTTCAAATAGGACATGTAGTTTGTCTGCAGCGAGCGTTTTGGTAGAAACTGTGCCTCCCATTCATTATAATGGGAAATGACCAAAGACAGGTGCGCACACCATCTTTGGACCTTGACTTTGACGTCACAGTTTGAGATACAAATGTTATTTGACCTCTGACCTTTGGTGGACACCCTAACCTTTCAACCCGCGAAAACGGCGTTTCAATAGCTCTTACGGCTTTCCTACAAATACACTTTGTTCAGCTACTCCTACTGTCCTTTAAGCTCTGCTTCTCAGATCATCAAAGAGTGTGCACGTGTGTAATGAGCGCATATTGAATGTTAATTATGTTAAATATGTTAATTATTAGAAGAAAAAACAACAACAGTCCTTTTGGACAAAATTTCTTTTTATTACAGAATTAGAATAATGGAAGCATAGTCCAAGGAAACCATTCAAGTGATGTCATACCTCATAATTTATTGAGATGTTGGCTAGTCTGGGCATTTCTTCATTCATCAGGTTTCCTGCATGCATACTAACAGAGCACATCAGTAGCAGTGAGTGATAAGTATGAGTGTGTCATTGTGTAAGAAAGAAAGTGGTTTACTTACACATCCATAGAAAATAGGTGGTTGAGCACAGCACGCAAACAAAGCTTTGCCACAACGGTTGAACTTCCCAAGTAGCTGATACCAAGGTCACACAGTCATGGTGAGCAAAGGTCAAACCAGGCCAGGCACTCACGAGGCTGGCTGTGGCAAGTGTAAGTGAAAGCAACACGCAATGGCAGGAAGAACAGCAAACACCGATGAAGGAAAAGGGTCTTTGCAGTGATGGGCGTCACCAGAGAGGGCGATGGCCAGAGGGCACGAATGGGACGGGGAGGCGGTCGCGCTGGGGGCGGCGCGACGCGGCTCGGGCCCGCCAGTGCCCCAACGGGGCCCTAGTTTTTTTTATTTTTTTTGGATCCTTGTGTTTAAGCTTCACTTTTCTTTTTCCAGTGCTTCCCTCCGTGCCTCTCACCAGCCCACAACCCAGCACACTTTCTTGGGCTTTGGACGCACTCCTCACCCGCGTTACCTCCAAAATAAACCTGTTTTACCTTTCCCCAGTCTGGTTTTGCATTTTGGGTACCAACTCTCCACATCACCCATGGACCCAGCAAACCCTGACTCGATCAGAATGGCCCTCACCGACCAGGCAATCTGTCTTGGACAGCATTAAAATATGCCTTAAGGTATCATGGAAACATTACAGAATATCAGCACCCAGATCTCCCTTCTGTCAGATCAACTTCAGACTCCCAATCCACTACCCAACACCTCCAATGATCCCACTGTGAGTACAGCTTCCTCACCTGAAATCACTGCCACCTCTCAACTCCCTCTTCCTCATAAAGAGTCTTTTGTTCTAGGCAGTTGCATATATGAAACAAAACAAAACAAAAACAAAAAAACCCTAAAAAAAATTATAATGAAAGGTTTCTCCACAGTTTTTTATAGTAGTAGATGTTCTTAATAACAAACTAAAAGGTTACCAAAGTTTGACCACTAAAAAAAGGTGTCATTTTCAAGATGGCATTCATGATAGGTAGGAAGCCCAGGGAGACACCACAGGTGAAAAGTGTAAAAGTTTTAACTAACAAATATCACCATGAAACTTACCAAGTCTATAACTTAAATGAAGACATATATTTTTTTTGTATTACAAGTTTTGTCAAATGTTATAATGAATTTGTAATTAGGCAATATCTAATTAACCCTTGTGCACCCCTAAGGACCGTTTTGGTCCTTCGTAACTATACTTTTGTGGATAATTTTGGCTGTGATGATGCAAATGGCATGAAAGTTTGTCAAAGTGTGTAATTTTAGGTGCAATTTAATTTTTTTCTTTTTTCTTCCTTTAACCTTTTTTGCATGTGAGCAATTTTTATACTTCAGTAAACACCCCTAAGGACCGAAACGGTCCCATTGACTCCCATTAAAACATGTTTTCTTCAATACACTGCCAATGCAGTATAATTTTTGGATTTTTTTTTTTTTTCTCATGTACACCTATTCTTTGAGGGTCAAACTGTTTTTTTTTTTATGCCGACCAGCAGATGGCGCCATTTTTCTTTTTTCCTGCCATACCCTTTAGAACCAGAGGGGCACTGTTTTCCCTTTTTCACAGAGCTGGTTTATTTCATGCATATAGATAGATAGATTGATAGATATATAATTTATTGATCCCAAACTGGAAAATTCTCATGTTACAGCAGCAAAGAAATACAAAATAGAATTAAATATAAGAAGAAATATGTACAATGCAGACTAAAAATACTAAATATACACATTGAATACAGGCTAAATGTACTAAACATCTTTAGAGAGAAAATAAATTTAATAAAAACTATTTAGGTGTGCTTTTGGGACATCATGGATTATGTGCATGTGTTTTCATGAATTACTTATGTGTGTGTGTGTGTGTGTGTGTGTGTGTGTGTGTGTGTGTGTGTGCATATGCAGCCATGAGAATAGCCAAAATCCTTCCAGAAACAGCGGCAGTTGTAAAATCTGCACCTGCAGTTTCCTTCTGTGTGTGTGTGTGTGTGTGTGTGTGTGTGTCTGATTGTGTGTGTGTGTGATTGTGTGTCTGACTGTGTGTGTGTGCGCACGTGTGTGAGCAAGCTCATGAGGTTCATAGCAGGCACCTGATCAATGTGAGTGCGTAAAAGCGAGCAAGGAAGGGATGGAGTGTGTGTGTGTGTGTTTGTGTGTGTGTGTGTCTGATTGTTTGTGTGTGTGTGTGTGTGTGTGTGTGTGTGTGTGTGTGTGTGTATGTGTGCGTGTGTCTGATTGTTTTTGTGTGTGTGTGTGTGTCTGATTGTTTGTGTGTGTGTGTGAGCGAGCGCACGAGGTTCATAGCAGGCACCTGATCGATGTGCTTGCGTAAAAGCAAGCAAGGGATGGATGGTGTGTGTATGTGTGTGTGTGTGTGTGTGTTTGAGATTGTGTGTGAGATTGTGTGTGCGTGCATGCATGTGTGAGCGCACGCACAAGGTTCATAGCGGGCACCTGAAGAGGGAGGATATCATCGATGTGCGTGCATAAAAGCAAGAGATGGATGGATGGATGGATGGATGGTGTGTGTGTGTGTGTGTAATACAAGTTTGTTTTTTGACTTAAGATAATATCAGGTTTTTACAAAAAAGACTGACATTTATGGGGTTAAAATACACAACCTGAATAACGTTTTGCTATTTATGATTAGGTTATAAGTCAATGATGGCAGCCAAAAAAAAAAAAATTAAATACATTTATTTAGACCATATTTCTACTGCAGCAAAATGGAGGGGACCGTTTCGGTCCTTAGGGGTGTTTATTGAAGTTTTTATTATTATTCAACACTACAGAAAAAATACAAATCCTTTCAAATCAATTTTCTCATCAATGTTTACCAATCCCATGCTCTAATAATCAAAACTTAAAAAAAACAATTGAATTGGAAAATAATTCATCAAGTGTGTTTTTGGACTTAAAATAATATCAGGTTTTTACAAAAAAGACTGGCATTTATGGGGTTAAAATACAAAACCTGAATAAAGTTTTGCTATTTATGATTAGGTTATAAGTCAATGATGGCAGCCAAAAAAAAAAAAAATTTAATATATTTATTTAGACAATATTTCTACTGCAGCAAAATGGAGGGGACCGTTTCAGTCCTTAGGGGTGTTAATTGAAGTTTTTATTATTATTCAACACTACAGAAAAAATACAAATCCTTTCAAATCAATTTTCTCATCAATGTTTACCAATCCCATGCTCTAATAATCAAAACTTAAAAAAAAACAATTGAATTGGAAAATAATTCATCAAGTGTGTTTTTGGACTTAAAATAATATCAGGTTTTTACAAAAAAGACTGGCATTCATGGGGTTAAAATACAAAACCTGAATAAAGTTTTGCTATTTATGATTAGGTTATAAGTCAATGATGGCAGCCAAAAAAAAAGAATTTAAATATATTTATTTAGACCATATTTCTACTCCAGCAAAATGGAGGGGACCGTTTCGGTCCCTTAGGGGTGTTAATTGAAGTTTTTCTTAGGGGTGCACAAGGGTTAAGTATGCACTTATTTGCATTCATTTCCAGAACCCAAAACTGATCAATGGATAAAGCCTCTTACAGACTCATTCTTCTCCTCTTCTATGCTGGGATGAACAATACAGGGCTCTTTTTTCGTTCAGACAAGTCCAAACCTACTAAAGTGTACAACATGGGAGGAAGAGTGTGACAACTGGTAAATCCAGTGAAGGTCACAGTTAAAAAAAATAAAAAATAAAAAAAATAAGATGGCAGAACTGAAGAAAATAGAAAAAAGAAATGTTTAAATTTACAGTGCATAAGTATTCACACCCTTTGCTATAAAACTCCAAAATTGAGCTCAGGTGCATCTTGTTTCCACTGATCAGCCTTGAAATGTTCCTCTGGGGAAGGTTACAGAAAAATATCTGCTGCATTGAAGATCCCAAAAAGCACAGTGGTCTCCATCATTAAGAAATGGAAGACGTTTGGAACCACCAGGACTCTTCCTAAAGCTGGCTGCTGAACCACAATGAGCAAGCGGGGGAGAGGGGCCTTGGTCAGGGAGGTGACTAAGAACCCGATGGTCACTCTGACAAAGCTTCAGCGTTTCTCTGAGGAGATAGGAGAACCCTACAGAAGGACCACCATCTCTGCAGCACTCCACCAGTCAGGCATTTATGGTAGAGTGGCCAGACAGAAGCCACTCCTCAGTAAAAAGCACATGACAGCCCGCTTGGCCTTTGCTAGAAGGCCCCTGAAGGACTCACAGACCAGGAGAAACAAAATTCTCTGGTCTGATAAAACGAAGATCGAACTCTTTGGCCTGAATGCCAAGCGTCATGTCTGGAGGAAACCAGGCACCACTCACCACCTCACCAATACCATCCCTACAGTGAAGCATGGTGGTGGCAGCATCATGCTGTTGGGATGTTTTTCAGCAGCAGGAACTGGGAGACTTGTCAGGATCAAGGGAAAAATGAATGCAGCTAAGTACATCAAAATCCTTGATGAAAACCTGCTCCAGAGTGCTTGAGACCTTCGACTGGGGCGACGCTTCATCTTCCAGCATGACAATGACCCTGAGCACACGGCCAAGAAGACCAAGGAGTGGCTTCAGGACAAGTTTCTGAATGTCCTTGAGTGGCCCAGCCAGAGCCCATACATGAACCCAATTGAACATCTTTGGAAAGACCTGAAAGTAGCTGTGCACCGATGCTGCCCATCCAACCTCACTGAGCTTGAGAGGATGTGCAAGGAAGAATGGGGAAAAACTCTCCAAATCCAGGTGTGCCAAGCTTGTTGCATCATACACAAGAAGACTGGAGGCTGTAATCGCTGCCAAAGGTGCTTCGAACAAGTATTGAGTGAAGGGTGTGAATACTTATGTATATGCAACATTTGAGTGTTCTTATTTTTAATAAATTTGCAAAATGTTCTAAAAAAAAGTTTTTCGCTTTGTCATTATGGGGTATTTTGTGTAGAATTTTTGAGGGAAGTGAAGTGGTATGAATCCTTTCCGGATGCACAGTGTGTTTTAAAGGGGACTTGCCATCAAAATTTCATACCCATTTTTATCATTTTTTCATAATCCTTAATGTCCTCTGATCATGTTTGCAACATAATTTTAGCTGAAAAGTTATTTGATGGTTTGTTTTAGTATGCCTAAAAAACCTTACAGGAAAACCAACTGAGTTTGGCTCATTAACATTTATGGTAATGAGCTTTGCTCTGATTGGATCGCTGCTGTGAAGCCTGCTGTGCTCTGATTGGCTCAGCAGTGGAAGTTCGGATTTCGGTTTATCCGTTTTGCTAATGTGTGCTAAAGTAAGGTGCCCAGATGTCTGTAATGATATCCGGGGATATTGGGTGCGGCGGCGGCAAGGAGGGTGCAGGGGCTGCAGGGGCTGTGTGATCATAGACAACATCTCGGTACTATTTAGTAGCAGCGCATGCCCCTTGTAATAACCCCCTTAAAAACTGTTGTTCAGGACTGCTTACTTGTGCTTCCTACCTGTTCGGCTACTGTAATAACCGTTGTTCGAGCCCACACGCAACATTTTTGCTCTCATTCATGAAACGCTTAAATCGAGGACATTTTCGGGGACAGGTCATCCAATTCGGGGACTGTCCCCGGAAATCAGGGACGTCTGGTCACCTTATGCTAAAGGCTAAAAATGGCAGGTATTAAACCATATATTTTAGACCCCGAGGAGGAGGTGGAAAATGAAGAAGCCGGAGATCTCCAGCTGTGTT